ATCAGTCGCCGGCTTCTGGACGGCCGCTCACTGCGGCTGCTGGCCGCTCATGCTGGCTGCTGGCTACACACGGTAGCCCATGGCAACCACTGCAGTTGGGTTTCTAGATTGAAAAAAGACAACCTGAAGACTGGAGTATGGACCACTGCGAGCACACCTCAGAGGTTAGGCCAAGGAGCCAGCAGGATAGCCAGCTGCTCTTGTACTCTTTTTAGCTGCAACAAATGGAACACGTGCAATGAAGCCCAAGGTTCTACTAAGACATTAGGATGCCACACTTTGACTCCTCTGACTCATACGAAGGGGTGGGGGTGAATGAGATGTAATGCTAGGGATGAAATCAAGGCCAGGTGAAAAAGAACACTTAGGAAGGGATAAATGGGGCAAATTCCACCAAGACAATATTATTGTATAATGGTTAAGTATACAAACTTTAGGTTGGAACTGCTTGGGCCTGAATTTCTGCCCTGAAACTAACTAGTATATGACATTGGGCAAGGTACTTTAATTTCTCTGTGTCTCAGTTTACTCATTTGTAAAATGGGGATAATAATATCTGCTTTATGTTGTAGTATTGTTGTAAGGATTAAATTAGTTACATAAGGCACTTACAACAGTGTCTGGTACATAGAAATTACTAGTTAAATAACTGCTACATTATAATGACCTAAAATGTCAAGTCACAAAGAACTTAGGCTGTGAATCTATTTGCAAAGTTTCCAATGGCTGTCTCAGACAGGTGAGTAAAACTTTAACAAAACCAGCTCAGTGCTGATAAATATTGCTAATTATTACCCTTTCTTCCTGTAGGTAACCAGTCATCTACATTTGAGCTATACAGCTGAAAAGGGAGGTAAGAGAGGCAATATTTGTGTGTAGAGAAGCTTTAAATCGTTAATTTGGGTAGTATTCATTCTTCACAGAGGTTCCTACTTCGTGCAGTGAACTGTGGTAGGTGCTGTGTAAAATACGAAAGTGATAAAAAAAGGTCTCAGCCTTCCAGATTTCAAACTAGTAGTATGAAAAAAGACAGGGGCATAAATGAGGGGCTCACAATACCTATGGGAGGGAAGAACCCACATATGGGATGGGGATGAGAATGAACTTGGACACTTTCATAAGAGGAGACAGTATTTGAGCATTTTCAGTTGACATTTAGAGTATATAGTACATTTTAAAGGTAATTTTCCATGCACTGGGAACAGAATAAAGCAGTTAGGAAATGAAGGGTTTAGAAATCATAGGGAAAATTCTGGAATTTCAAATAGTCCAGTTTGATGAAAGAAATGGGCAAGAGAATAATGAAAGATCTGGCTACAAAGGGAGGCTGCAGAGATGTTGAGGAAATTGGATTTCATTTTGTGGTGGACACTAGACGTTTGAGAAGAGCAATAATGTGTAATTTTGAAGAAGATGGATTATTACTGGGAAAGTCACTGAAATTACGGGTGAGAGGTATATTCAAACACCATCCATAGTTCTGAATGTATATTTAAAATGTATTTTTTCACTTATAAATTATATGGAATCTTTAATAAAACATATGTACAATAAATAATTCATATTTGAAAGTGTTCATCAGAGAGCTTCATGCTTTTTCAATGGGAGAGTCCACAATAACAGGGAAATCAGAAGGCAATCTCAACAGCTCCTCTACTTCTTCTTGCAAAGCATCTGCTTTTTCATGCAAGAGCATCTACAATAAAAAATCAAGATATGAGGCCAAAATATGCACTGCTAGAGAACTGCTAACATTTTTACCACCTGAATCTTTAGACGTCAGCAATCTAGACATTAAAAGTAATAACGAGATTGAAAAATGGCCACTTAAGAAATTATAGTAAATGAAACTGAAGCATTTAAAGGCATTTTAGCTGATCACTATATTTGGTGTACCAAAAATAAGAGCTTTAATACTCTCAAAGATCTGTTTTATTAAAGACTCAGCCACTTAAAAATTAACTTTTGGGCTGGTCAAGTGGCGCGTTGGTTAAGAGCTGGCTTGGGACGCCAGAGGGCCCCGGTTCGGATCCCACATATGAGGGCCAGTGACACTGCCCTCTACAGCTAAGATGCTGAGCAACAGCTGGACCTGGAGCTGGGCTGCAGTGAGTCACCGGGGACCGCGTAGGCTGCAGTCCCTGCTGCAGTGGGTTGCCATGGGCTACTGTGTGTAGCCAGCAGCCAGCGTGAGTGGCCAGCAGCCGCCGTGAGCAGCCGTCCAGAAGCAGCCACCCGGGAAGAGCGCAATGATGGTGCCAACTTGGGCCAGTGAAGCAACGTCCTCCACAACTAGACTGAGGAACAAAAGGACATCAACTTGTCTGTTCCCCTTCCCCAATTCCCCAGCGCTCTTCCCATCCCCCAATTCCCCAATAAAAATCTTAAAAAAAAAAATTAACTTTTACTCTATAAAATGTAAGACAATTTTGCAAAAAATTAATTAGTTCTTAAAAATGTTATTCTTTATATAGGTATTTTATTATTCCTCAAAATTTAATATGGTACCTTTTAAAACCCTATCACTGTTCAAAGAAAAGTTTTATTCAAGCTCCTAAAATTAACACAGTTAATTTCAAAAGAAACATGGGCATAGAAAGTATTTCTAAACATGGCACATAGCAGATGTAAATTAATATTTGCTGAATAATGATTTTCTCCCTTTAAAAACCAGAAATAAAATGTTGGTATTTGTTGCAGCTGGGTTTTGTGTCTATTGGGTTGAAGTATTTGTACTACTTGTTATGAAATTTTTATAATAGAGAGTTTAGCAAAATCACATAGAAGAAAAAAATCATATGATACAAAGTGAAAAACCAACTCTCTACCAATTTGATATAAAGCATAGCATTACACAGCACTATATATAAAAAAAGACTAAAATGTAATTCAGTAAGCTTTCCAGGAGCTGAGGTAATGGTGACCACATGAAATGAATCTCTGAACACATCTTCTACAACTATACAGATCAACAAGTAAACCACACAAAATTCATGTGTCAGCATTACCAGAATACAGAGAACACCATCAACCTCAAATTACTTGGAGTTAAAAAAAAAAAATCCACCAATTTCTAGCAGAGCCATTTCTCAAGCTCCCACTCCAAGCGTTTGCAGAGATCAAGGTGGGGTTGAGAAAAGAACTTCATAAAAAGGAGAAGCGAAAAACAGAGGATCTCAGATTAAATAAAATTATTTCCAGAAAGAGAAAGGTACCCTAAGCACAAAAATACTGAGAAAACAATCTTGGTAGATTAAAGCATTGTTCATAGAAAAGGACTTAAAGGGTGTGGTACTCTAGAAGGCAGTCTTGGAAGGCAATATTTCTAAGGGAGACAATGGGTAAAAAGGGAGAGGTGCCCTTTGGAAGCTGAGCAGTAAAGGAAAAAAAATAAGGGCCAAATTTAGGAGCCTGTAGGAAAATTAAAGAAACGAAAAAAAAATCAAAGAACACAACTCTTCCTTGCATTCCTCTCCCACCCCAAGCCATCCATTAAAGAAACTACACTTTCTCCTACATTGATAAAAGAGACTCTTGAACTAGGATTCTCATAAACCACTCCAGATGGCCATTCCCGTCTAAGATGCAGAGGCATAAGCAGTTCTCATTATACAAGACTACACTATAAAAAGAAAATAAAAAATGACAATAAAAGTACTTCAGCTTATAAAAATTTCCTTCCCTGAAAAGCTAACCATGAAGCAGAAAAACTAACATGATACTCCAAATGGATTTAAATAGTCTCAAATAAACACATCTTGAATAAGAAGTCTGAAAATTAAGAACAGAAATGGACCAAAAACAGGAAAAAAATGAAACAAAAGTTGAATAAGCTCATGAAGGAAATAGAAGAAAAAGGCAAAATTATATCAGAAATAAAAACTAAATAACAAGGTGTCCAAGGAAGCACAGGTTAGAATAAGAACCTAATTAGGGTCATGCAAGGGAAAGCAGGAAAACGATCAAGATAATGAAAATGAGATAAAGAAAAAAGTAAAAAGAATCAGAGAAACTGAAATGCAAGATGGGCAAAGAAGATCCAATATTCACATCAAACATTAACCTGAGTTGCTAAAAAAGAAAAATTAAGCAATAGATCACAGCTAATATTGAAAATGACAACCTAAAGAAACTTCCAGAAATAAAAGAAAATGAAGATATTTACTAGCAAAACTATTTGAATTTAAAGCTAAAGAAAATAGGTTCATGTTTTATATATTCAAACAACAACAAAAATAACCCAACCCATAAGGATTGGGGTGGGGAACTGAAGTTGAATACAAACAGACTCTGTGTTTCAAATGAATAACATAACCACACTGAAGCAGATTTTAAAAAAAAGTAACAGTGGAATAGATTTTTTTTTTCCCAGCTGAGCCATCCTGCCACCTGTTAGCAGCTCAGCTCAGGCCAGGGAACGAACTGGCGACCCTGTTGCTCAGAGCTTGCACTCTTGAGCGAGCTCTTCACCAACTGAGCCACTCGGCCAGCCCTCAGATTTTTAATTATATATCCTCAGACTAAAGACAAAGAGCTAAAAATAAAACCTGGCTCCTATTTTCATCAACACATTGATCTATTTTGCTGAATTCTAGAATACACTGAAAATAATTTTAGAATTGTTAAAACATACCACTGCCCAGGATTGTTGTGAAGATCAATGAAGATAATACAATGTGAGCACCACTCAAAAAAGTAAGGTGGGAATTTACTTTTTAGCTAATTCCGATCTGTATATGACAATAGTGTAACAATGAATTTTTAAAAAAAGCTAAGCAATTTCAGGCTACAAAAATGGAACTATAATTGAAATCCAGAAGGAAATAATCCCGAACTGCTGCATAAGGGCTTCACCCACATGGAACAGGAGGGTAACGACAAACAGGACTGCATCTAGCAAAGGGTAACTAGGACAGTGGCAGATTATTTAACATGGATGAAAGAAATAGAAAAGAGAAACCCGTGGAGGAAATGAGAGCTGTTTTTCAAACATGTGAAAAACTACCATATGAACAAAGGGACAGAATAGTTCCAGAGCATAGTATTGCTATGTATGTAATGGTCAACATTTTATGCAGGGAAAATTGAGTCTCCTTATACTGGGATGCTTTTTGTAGTGCTAAGAGCATCCAAAAATAGAACTACCTAATTTTTGAGGTTGCAAGCTCCTGTCAATGAAGGTGTGCAAAGATGGGAAGACCAGATGCTGGAGATGCTGAGGAAAGGACTTCTGGGAAGAGGGTGTGAGGAGGCAGCATGAGTCCCAGAGTTCCCTCTGCTTCAATAAACTCTTGAAATTATCTGTTTTTATAGGAGGTCCTTTTTCTCTTTTTAGCAAGCCTTGTATCAGAAGAGACGTATTATTTTTATCCACATATTGTGAGTATATACTTTTGTGTCTATTATTACATGTTTTTGTTTTCCTGTCTAAGGTATAAGGAGATAACACTACAAAATATCATAAAGGTTAAAAAATGGTTTGCTTACCTTTGCTGATGAAACAATTTGCTTGGCCTGCCGTCGTGATAAATGATCAATTGTCTTTATTAGCACTTCAGGATTTGCATTAGCTAAGTGCGTTAGACTTTTATAGCCTGCATTGTATAATTGTTTTGCTCGACCCTGGAAAGTATTACAAAAATCAGTAGGGTCAGAATTTGGGATTAGGAAAACATAGTTAAATATATATATATATATTTTTTAAAATTAAGTATCTTATTGCAGGGAAAATTTTCACGTGCAAGAGAGAAGAATAAACTAAAATAAAGTAAAAGTGAAGAGATAATACATCAGAATCCTGGGGAATTTTAAAAGAGGCATTTGGGTGGTTCCAATCCGACTGCAAACTAGCCTTCGGTGCAGCTTAAGTCAACTGATGTGTGTTACAAGCAGCAATGAGAAATCCATTAAGGCTCGGAGCATTATTTCAGACCCCCAATCAAAAAGTTCTAGTCCAATATCCTTAAAATTTTCTCACCATCAGCTCAGGGGAGAGGGGTGATGAGGGTGAGGGTGTGCATGTGTGCTCCAAAACAGAAGAACTCCTCTAAATTCAAGAACTGAATCACAGAGAATTAACTTAAGGGTTGATCAAAACAGAAAGCTGAAAAACCAGAGGAAGATACTTTCTTTTCACCAGTGCCTTAAACAAGAACTTTGTCTAAACTGACAAAGGTAATTCTTCACTGGAGTGGAGGAAGGAAGAGATACTAAGGATGAGTGATAGCACCCATATACGTGGACGGTGTCATCACACTGTTATTTTTTTTTTTCCTATTTGTGCTTCTGGATTAACAGGGTTTTTCTAGGAGGCCAGGGCAGCAATTAATTAGAAAAAAGAAAAAAAAAAAGACTGCCATGACAAATGAGCAATAAGGCTGTTGTTGTCCCTTACCCTGTAACAAGACTTCAGTTAGTTGAAATCACCTCAATTGGGAAATAGGAAAGCTACTAACCTCTAAAACTCCAGTCACTTCCATGAGAGGCATTAGCTCTGCCTTCACACAGTAAGTCAGCTTCTTGGTAAGCTCTCCCAAAAGGGCTCTGTAAACCCAGAACTCCTCAAGTTCCTGCAGGACACAAAGAAATATACAGAACTTAAATCTGGTAAGTTATTTCAAAGTTTGGTTTGTGTGGTAGGGGACTAAGAGAGAATGCTCCCATATGTAAGTCTGGGACTTGGGTTAAGCCAGAGCTGAACAATAATTCCAAACAGAATTATTATGAGGCAGAGACTCAGATGAATTTGATGAAATGGTTTTGGGATGAGGAAATAGACTGAAAATTGAAAAATAAGTCAAGAAGAAGAGTTCTTATTCATTTTTATCAAAACACCAGCAACTGAATGCATAGTTTTTCTTTCCCAAATGCCTAAAAACACTTCCTACCTCTGGGAATTTACCCTGAAGACAAAATATTATATATGAAAGGATTCAAGTGCAGGATGATGCTCAGTACAATTTGTTTTTTTGGTTAGCTGAGCCATCCTGCCACCTGTTGGCAACTCAGCTCAGACCATGAATCGAAACGGTGACCCTGTTGCTCAGAGCTCACTCTTGAGTGAGCGCTTAACCAACTGAGCCACTCAGCTAGCTCAGTACAAGTTTTAAAAGAATAAAAATACTGGAAGCCATGAGTCAGTAATTGTTAAAGCTGGGAGGGTGAATGGGTATTCATTATATTATTTTGTCTTCTTTTATATACGTTTGAAATTTTCTATAATAGTAGTTTATTTGTTTTTTTAAGTCCATTTCTAAACTTTCAGTATCGTGAGAGTATGTGATACATGGAATACTATTAGTTAGCGATTTTGTGGCTACTAGGAAAGTAGTTAATGCACTAAAAATGGCAGAGTAAAAAGAAGATAATCTTGAACAAAACTACTGAATCAATCACCCCCAGAACTGCCTTGGCTCTAGCTCTCCTGTTACATAAGATAATCTTTTTTCCTATTGTTTAAACTTCTATGGGCTTTTTCTGTTACTTGTAGTAAAAGCACCTTAATTAATATGATTGTGTACTATTTTATACCACATACATAACTATTTAAAGAGAAAGAACACTTTAAAATATTGAAAATAGTACACTCATGAGAGCACAAGTTGTCAGATAGATTTTTCTCCTAAGATATCAAATTATAGTAATTGTTTTTCAAGTTCAATATACAGATTCTTTTACTCGAACAATTTTACAAGGCTTAAGTCCTTATAGTCCTAATTAAAACAAAGGGACAGAATTAGGTAAAGCATCTCTAAATACAAAGAGCAACAAACAGAAAACTTAAAATATATTTTAAAGGCTGCCTTATTACTCATAATTTTTGTCTACTGCTTAGCTAGTGTGTGATTAGGGAATGTAAGCTAACATTAAAAAATCAGCAGAAGTAGGAGATTTTTAGAAAGATGAGTTTGCTAAAATAATTATCATTCAATCCAAAATCAAGTATTTTGGATTATTTACTCATTAATACATATGACAGAATTAATTGACATATACATACACTGAATACGGAGATTTAAGATGGGGAAAACGAAGTAGATTTTAAGTTTAAAAATAGAATTCATGGGGGGAAAAGTTTCCAAAAAATTGAATACTGAAACAAATACGGAAAGGATTACTATGCCACCTAATAAGAAATTTAAATGCAGCAAAAATGGCTTATAACGTTATCAAAAAATTATCTGAGTAGAAAAGTCTGGTAAGCTTTATTGTGTTATTTAAGGAAATTCTGAAAGCTGCTTTTAGTAAAGTCTCAAACAAATTTTGTTTGCCATATGCCCAAATGCATATGGCCAAAATAAAGTTTTCTCCTTGAATTATTTTACAAAATGAACATTTTTTTATAGAAACCTAAAGTATAGCTGCTTGCCACTGGAAGCAAAAATGGTAAATTACTGAGGCAATCAAAAGAACACGGTGCTAAGCAGTTACAAAGTAGCTGTTGGATATTGATAACTTACTTATCAAACACTTCACATGGTTATCACTCATGAGAAAGACCCTCACACAGAGTCTACATCAATGGAGAAATGTCATTCTAAGAATTGATTCCAAATACCTGAAGCTATTAATGGTGAGTCTACGAAGTAGGGATAATTAGGTGCTTTTTACTTGTTCATTACATATTTTAGTTGATTCTGTCATTTTTGTATCTTTACCAGAAGTATGGTATTTAGTATTTTATAAGCAGATAAAAACAAAAATATATTTTAAATAAATTTTGAGTGCTTTATAATAACAGAGTAAGTCAATGATGAGAAAATACGAACTTGTTTATGAGTTTAGGAACAGTTAAAATTAATGCACAAAGCATATATCGTCTATTTAATGGAATTACCTCACAGAAATGTAACACACAAGATGAGAAGGTGGCAGCTGCAGTGAGAAGATTCTGTACATATCCTCTAGGCATATTAAATTTCTCAGACACACTCCAAATGTTGGTCTCTTTGAGCAAAGTATAAAGAACAAAAGACAGGTAGAGTCTGTTGACAATGTCCTTGTCCACTTTCTAGAAAGACACACCCAAATAAATTTATGTACTGAACCTGCTAAAAATAAAAATGCACATTATATTCAAATTGGACAAAAGGTGAAGTGAATGAAGTTGTACTACAGGACAGCAAGGAGAGAATGACTCCATAGAAATAAAACTATGTTCTAATATATGTATCTTGGCTTAATTCAAATTGATTATCATTTTCCAAGTATATAAAAAAAAGATATGACAAATTACTTAAAGAAGTTTAAATTAAGCTTCTTTCTATTAGAGAGTATAGAAGGTTGAATTGTGTCCTTCCCCAAAAAGGTATGTTCAAGTACCAAGCCCTGGTACCTGTGAATGTGACTTTATTTGTGAATAGGATCTTTGCAGATGTAATTAGTTAAGGAGAGGACACAGAGTGACACAGATGAGAAGGCAACGAGAAGATGGTGGCAGACACTGGAGGGAGGCATCTACAAGCCAAGGAAAACCAAGGACTTCCGACAACCACTGAAAGCTAGGTGAGAGGCAAGATGGTTTCTTCCTCAGAGCCTCCGGGAGGAACCAACCCTGCCAGCATCTGACTGCAGACTTCTATTCTCCTGAACTGTGACAGAATAAATTCCTGCTGTTTTAAGACACTCAGTTTGCGGTAATTTGTGACCACAGCCCTAGGAAAAAGAATACAGGAAGGGAAGGAGTTGGGAGACCTTTACATTTCCTGTGGTATTTATAGGTTCTATATGTGTGAATGTGATTATAAATTAGACAAATGCATTTATTTAGATAAATGTTAATAAGCTTATCTATATTGTAATCTAAGAGTACATATTAGATTCCTGTGATTTCCATATGATCATAAGTAATTAATGTTTCCAAAGTTAAAATATTGAAAGAAAAATGCTTCCTGTGGTTGACAATTTTTATTACGTGTACCTGCTTTTCCCTGTGAAGTCTAGTGACTATTTTTTATGTAAAGTATTTCATAGTTAATATCAAGCTAACTTAAAAACTGAGTAACTCATGCTTAAAATCAGATGGAAAAAAAAGAATGAACTTGAAAGAGAAAAAGGAGGTATAAAATACACAATTATATCCTCTTCTATAGTAATAGAATGTCTGAGATGAACTTTGACATATTGAAGGATGTATGAATTAAAATTCTGCACGTTGATACTACATGTTAAGGTTTACCTTTTAAAAAGCATTAAGCTAAACAGCATGATAGTTGAATAACAAGCAGGAAAAGATCACTTTTTAATTTCCCAATTTAGTGCACTTTAATTATTAATTGAGTCAATGTAGAATTTTGCTTAGAATATATTTTCTAAGCCAAGAAAAACGATATAATTATATTACATGGTAAGATAACATGCTTTATGCCAATTTCAAGATCTTTTACAAGAAATATTTAAAGAAGAGGGGCAGCGGGTCATTTTCAATATGGAGAAATCAATTAGATTTTAAGTAAATATCATATTCTCTAAAATTACAAAAAAAGATACTTCCAAACATTAAACTAGTAACATTTGTAGTTAATATCAATTTATGACCATATAATTTTAAATATTTATCATCTAAATAAACATTTATTGACTATATTTCACAAAATGTAACAAAAATAAATTCTGATTCAAGTTTAAAAAGATGCATTATTCTAATAAGATTTTTTTTATTAGTTTCAGGTGTACAAAACAATGTAATAGTTATTTATACCCCTCCTTCCCCAATTTACTACCCCTCTGACATCGTATATAGCTGTTACAGTTCCACTGACTCTATTCCTTATGTTGTACTCCACATCCTGTGACCATATATATATATATGTGTGTGTGTGTGTGTGTGTGTGTGTGTATATATATATATATAGATATAGATAGCTAGAGATACAGATAGATATATAAAATTATAGTTGACATTCAATATTATTCAGCTTCAGCTTCAGGTGTACACTGCAGTGGTCAGGCACCTACACCGTCCATGAAGTGGTCTCCCTATCTAATAAGGTTTTATAAAAGTTTATTATTTCGTAATGAGTTCCAAATTAATATGACTTTTTAAATATGATTTTGGTTATATTTTATATTTTAGAGTTAGATATAAAAAGTTTGTTTTAAGACATTTTTATTCGACATTTTGAAGGTCTAAACAGCATAGCCATTTCTAAGGTAAAAGACCCAATCTAAATATTGTGAAGACGTGAATGTTGAATACAGATATTTATAATTTTATGATACAGCAATACATGGGACAAACAGTTGCACCACTCAATTCAAATGAAAGTAAACACTATCTTCCATTTTTCAAAATGGAATCCATAATATATATGTAAATTTAAAAGATATAGGGGGAAATAGTAGGTAAGATAATTAGGTTTCAATGAAGATTAGATTACCAAAGAAAATTAAAAATGAAAAAGGTATTATAAAGAGGAAAATGATATTAACTTAAGGAATTTTAAGGCATGTTAACCAAAGAATTATTTCCACTTCTCTTAAAGTTAGTGTATGCATTAGACACTTGCTTCATGCTTATTGACTGAACTTTGAAACACCAAAATATAAGGTATCACACAAAAGATTATTAACTTATCCACTTCAACCTTCTAGAATGCTTTGTGTATATCAAGTACTAGATGGGGAGTTTTTTGAGGACAACAAACAACAACAATAAAACCCCCAAACCCGTCCTATCTTAGAATCCCTGATACCAAGTACAGTGCGTAATAAAAAGTTTCTAGAAAAAATATTTTTCTCCCTTGAATTGAACTTATTTCAGACTTACACAATGTGATGAAAACATTTTACAATTTTTATAACGTAAATCATAAGTAGCCTAAGAAAAATAGATTAATAAGGTTTTTTTTTCCCTATGATAAAAGCCTTACATGTGCATGAAAGAATATTTCAGAAATACAAAGGTGCAAAAAAAAAGTCATCACACGACCCAGAAATAAATACTATTTTTTAAAAAAATGCCTAAATTTCTGGTCCTCAGATGTTTTAAATAGTAAAGTGGGAATTAATGTAAAGAAAAAAATGAAACAAAAAAGTCAGCAAAGGAGATAATACAACAGCATTGATTTTGTTAAATGAACTTAATTATTCAGGAACAAAAACAAGACTATGGTACCTTCTTGATAGCTTGACCTGATGCCTTTTTCCCAATATAGTTTTCTGAGACGCCAACAAGATTAGCTGCATTTTGCTCTGCTGGGCTGAGCTGGTTAAACTACACAGAAAAAGAATAAATATATAGAAAAATCAAACTGTAACTTTAAAAAATCTGCCATTTGAACCAAATCTAGTATTTCCTGTGATATCACATTTTCATGATTTTAAAGGGTATGAAAAAACAACAAATTTACAAATATTGCAAACTTTAAAAATATTATTAAAATATAATATACTTTAATAGAATTACTTAAAGATATGGTCACAAGTACTGTGACCATGGAGTATGGTTTCCATGGACCGTGATTATGTTTAATATTGGAGAAGTCTAGGGGGAGGGAGAAGAGGGAAAGCTTCTGAAAGTAACTGCATTATACAGTATCACTTGGAAAACTTACAGAAATAATTTAAAAATATGATGCTAAAAAGAAAGTTAATTTCCTACAATTAAAAGCTGCATCCTGCTTCTGCCTAATATGTGTTCATGCATCTACCCTGTTCACAGTAAAATCATAATAGACTGTACTCTACCACTTGCTTTGGTAACAAGAAGGGCCAGTTCCATCCTCCTATGGGTGATAAAACTGGTATTCCTTTTCAGGTATTAATATTACCAGGGTTGGTGTATCGTCATGCTTGGCTCTGATGGAGCTTTCATGTAATTAAACTCCCAATCATCAGAGATGGCCTTTCCGGTTTTCTTTATATTCTAGGTACTACAAAATGTAGTGGTTACCAAATCACAGTGGTAACTATCTTTGGGGGAACGGGACCAGGGATGATCCTTTTTTCTTTTTTGTACCTTTATTTTTTTTGATAATGAACATGTTTATACTTAACAGAAAAGTAATATTTAAGTTAAACAAACCAAAAATACTATTGTCATATTAGTATTTTAAAAACTGAAAGAACTAAAGGCCCAATTTCAAACATTTTTTAATAGGAAAAGAAGTGAATAATCACTTTACAAAAATCACACCATCATTAACAGACTAAGTAGTCTGTATTGAAGAATCTTCTATTCTCACCTGTCTGAAGTATATCATCCAATCAGGGTCACACTGAGAAGCCATATCATAGGGGGTGGTCAGGTAAATTAGATGAAGAAGGCTTTCAAGCACAAGGCCTTCAAGACCTTTCTTCAAGTCTCTGTAGAGAATGTTACAATAAGCCAAATCTATAGTTCCTAAAAGAAAGATACAATTCCAATTTTTGAAAATTACCAAAGAGAAAAAGAGGTGATTTTAAAGGAAGTCTTGTTTATAAGTTACCTAAGTATAGCAAAAAGTCTTCAAAATTTCTTTTATGTAATTTAGCACAGTTATTTTGGAGGTCATTTTGATAGTATCCATCAACATTTACCTTCTGACCCAACTGCTCTACTTTGGGGAAGTTAACCCAGAGAAACATTTCCACACATGTCCAAGAATACATGAATAGAGATGCCCACGCAGCCTTGTTTATAATGGAGAATGATCAGAGACAGTGCAATGCCCATTGATAGGGGAATGGTTAAATAAAATATGGTATCCATATTATGGATGACTAAAGTACTAAGAGAAAATGAAATATTGGGTTGTTGGAAAAGTCATGATGCATTTTTGCAATGAAAAACATAGAAAAAATATGTCATGACTTTTCCGACAACCCAATAGATTTACAGGAATTGATATGTTAAGATGCTCATGATATTTTATACATGAGAAGAGCAAACTGCTAAAACATACTTATGCTATGATTCCATTTAAAATAATAACCTATGTGCATATGCACACAGGTGTGCATGTACAGAAAAATATATGGAAGGATATATACTATATCAAATTGTTAACAGTGGTAGCTCCTGGGAGAGTGGAAATGGGAAAGAAGTATTGGATTTTCCTTTATGTAATTCTTTTTTTTTAAATTTTTTTAGCTGAGCCATCCTGCCACCTGTTGGCAGCTCAGCGGCAGCTCAGCTCGGGCCGGGACTCGAACCGCTGTTGCTCAGAGCTCAAACTCTTGAGCGAGCTCTTAACCAACTGAGTCACTCGGCCAGCCCTCCTTTATGTAATTCTAAGAATTTTTTTTAGCAACAGACATGTATTATTTTTCGTTAAGTAAATGATGATGTAGCAATTAAGAAAGAAACTGTTCCCTGTCATGGAGCAATCTCTAATATCATCTATTAAGGAAAAAAAAAAAGCAAGTTCAAGAATAATACAAATGATTATTTAAAAATGAAAGCTTAAAAAAATCATAGACCTCTATATGTATATGTGTTATGCATTGAAATGAAATGTACTGAAAACATCTGGAAAGATATACACCAAATTGTTATTCTTGGTAAGATATTAAACTTTGTGTGAATGCTGGCGGAGGGCAGTGTGAAGGAGAGATGAACATCTTTTTCTCTACATACTTCTGCAGTATTCTAAATTATTTGTAATTAAAAACATTTTTCAACTTTTTAAAGTTGAAGTAGTCTATAGTTTCTAAAATAAGATTAATGTTATTAATCTGAAATTACAAATCCAATTTAAAGTAACAGGTAATTTAATTTCTATTTTTTCCAGTGCATTTCCTCAGATTAAGAGGGACAGTTAGGTCAACTCTTACCCTTGAAAGAAGCTTTTCCCAACTTTGTAATATGAAAACTATACTGGAACCCTTCTTCAGATTTATAAATAGCATCTTTTTGCATAAATCCATTTTCTGTCAAAATAGTGTCTTTTTGTAGGAGTCCTTTTTCTGTCAGGTATCGAAGTGATTCAACAGTTATTTCCCAGAGACTTTTTTCTTTCAACAAAATCTTTTGCTGAACACCCAAAAACGTACCACTCATAAAGTGATATATGTCACCAAGATTTGTTGCAATCTGAAACAATTCAGGACATGATTAGAGCATTTCCCTTAATTCAACACATCATTTTGAACCTACATTAATCAAGATAATGATTCTTTTCTGTACCTCAAAACTATTTAAACAAAAAATTTGGTATAAAATCTACATAGTGTATATATAAAGGTAATTTGATAACAGCATTTTAAAATAAAAAAAACATTTTAAGGGAGAAGACAATTATCACAGTTATCATATTCATACTTTTTGTGAAAACATCAACACATTTTTCATTTAAAAATGCCTTAGGTTTTTGAATAATTTTTCACAGTATCTCCAAAGCTGTGCACTGCTGCTTACTTCTTAACCAAATTATCACTAATTCCCACCCTACCTCCTTCAGATATCTTCCTTTCACCCCTTTCGAGCCACCCGTGATAGCATTCTTGAGTTCTAAAAATTGTATTAAAAACAAACACACATGAAAACACAACTGAAAGTCTCCATTGAAACAGGATCAGAAAATACTGTCCCTGACATATTACCTAAAAATAAATAGCAGTTTTCTACCTCTTTTTGTCTCATTCCCATTTCCTTTTCCTGCTTTTATGCCTTTTTCTCTTCCTCTCATTTACTATTTAAAACTTATAATGGCAATCATAAGTAATAATTACCCCTCCACTTGGTAGTCTTTTTTGTTTGTTTGTTTTTTGTTCGTTCATTCATTCTTTTTAAATTCTTTTTCCCCTTGGTATTCAGATGTAGAGTTGACTCTGAATTAGAATAATTTTATAATGGCCAATTTCAATGAAATCATCATTGAAATCATCATTATACTAAAATACAGCCAATCAGTAAGCATATTTCTCTCTCTTACAATTGTGATATTTCAACTGGAACACTTAAGTAGTCATTTCATATTAAACCAACATAAGAGATAACAAAAAATATTATAGAGTATATACATTTCCTATTGCTTCTCCTTTACAAATCATTCTTAATATAGCATACTATGAGGCTAAAATTTCACTTTTAAGATATTCAAGAACTGATATTCAGTTTGTAGATTATCAACGTACTTAGTTTTTATATTGTTTTCTACTTGGTTAATTACAGTTAACACTGGGGATAAAAACAAACAAACAAACCTTTATTTACTTCATCCTTCTAGCCACTATCATGTTACTCTTCTAATCCTCTGTGAAAAACTTTTAGATAGTGATTTGAACACACTGGGCCAGCCTCTGCCTCTGGCTGCCACAGGTTCTCAAAGCTGGATTCTCCCCTATCGCCCCAACCTGCAAATTCACCCATGCCCAGCTCCAAAGCCAATCCACTCATTAATTCAAGTATATACCGAATGCCAACCACATGCCAGGCACTGTGCTAGGCACTGTGATTCAGTGATAAATGCAAATAAGTGTGGACCCTGCTTTCAGGGCTCACATTCCAGTGAGCTAAAGTTATTAGCCAAATAACTGTGCTAACAAGAATACAATTGCAAACTGATAAGTGTTATTAAAAGAAAGGAGTGTGGTTCTACAAAGCATACAACAATAGACTGAATGGATTCAGAGGCATAGGGAGGTTTCCCTGAGGAAGTGATGGTTATGTGAAAGTCCGAAGGTTCAGTGGGAGTTAACTAGACAAAGTCGTGGGTGAGAGTGAAACTGGAGATGGGAAAGGAAGATGGGCGGGTCCCAGGCTTACGGAGCCCGGGGGTAGGAGAGACCATAGTATGTTTGAGAAATGAAAGGAGAGACCATAGTATGTTTGAGAAATGAAAACAGAAGGCCAGTATGTCTGGAGGGCAGAGTGTGCAAAGGCTGATGAGAGAGAACCACAGAGACAGACAGGCTAAATTTGTGGTAGGTCATGATAAGGAATTTGGGCTTAATCCTAAAAGCAATGGGAAACAACCACTGACAAATATTAAGCAGAAGGAGGTCACACATTCAGATTCTAGTCTGAGAAGATCTATGTGAAGAATTACTTGGAGGGGATGTGGGAAGGCAGGACAGGGTGAATGCATGGAGACCAGTTAGGAGACAATAAGTGATCCAGGCGAGGGACTGCAGGAGCATGGACCAGAGTGCGCATGTACAGAGATAGTGTTGAAAGCAACCCACATAATCTACCTCTTTGCCTCAGGTTCTTTTTTTTCGAAAAGGAGAGGTCTATTACTTAATTCAAAGGTATGCAAGGATCAGGGATAAAACATATAAAGTGTCTAGCAGGGTGTCTGAAACATGGCTGCAATAAATACACGAAAATCAGAGGCTCCCTGAATGCTATGGCCCAACAGCTATTATTTTCTTATTAATTCTTGGAGTTTCCTTCTCCTCCTCCAAAGCATCCCCTCCAGGGATGCTCACCTCTACCCTGCTGCCTCCGTACCTCACACTGCCCTTCTCGCCCTCACTCCTGTTCCACGTGGTGGTTCCTGTCCAAAGGACTTGCTTCTGCTTCAATTCTAACTCTGCAGATTTTCCTGGCTCTCTACCGTCTGTAATTCCAGCCTCCTTCCACAACCACAGTCCTGATGTGAATCCTCACTCTAGGGGGAGGAGGAACCCTGATGGCTTGTCCTCCTCAGGACTGGGCCCAGGAGCTTGAGTTGTCTCCTATGGACAGGCTTGGAACAACAGCTGCCTACCTGCTAATCTGATCCGACCACTGCCTGGACTTCTTGCTGCTGTACATGAATTATTGAAACAGAATTTAAATGAAACTGCTGTGCCCTGCAATCTTGCATTGTTGGCAGGCCTGTAAAAACCAAACCTGTGTGGCCAAGTTAGTTCCCAGTCTTCCTGTTGCCTGAGTGGTCTGGTTTTTTTTTTTTTTAATTATTATTTTTTATTGTGAAACACACATTTTTTAGAATTAGTTTCAGCTGTACAACACCCCTCTCCCCACAATATCATACATATCTATTACAATTCCCTTGACTCCACTCCCACACTATACTCCATGTCCCATGACTATATATATGTATATATATATATATATATATATATATATATATATACACATACATACATATATATATATATATTCACTTATAGTTGACATACAATATTATACGATATCAGCTTCAGGTGTACAGTGCAGTGATCAAGCCTCTACCCCATCCATGAAGTGGTCTTACTAGCAAGACATGTGACTATCTGACACCCTACAAAATATATTTTAAGTGAAGTCCCCACTCCCTCCCAATTCCATTGCCTTTTGCTAAGTCCTAACTCATGACATATAGTATATATTTGTCAGGTGTATGCATTATGAATACTTCCCCCAGCCTTTTCACTTATTTTAGCAGTGTTTTTTGAAGAGAATTTTAAAATTGTAATAAAGCCTATTTAATATTTTTTCTTTCATGGTTTATGTTTTTGTTTCCTATGTAGGAAATCTTTGCTTAACCCAAGGTAACACAATTTTTTCTCCCATATTTCCTTCTAGAAGTTTTATTTTAGCATTTAAGTTTAGGTCAGTGATCCACTTTGAGTTAATTTTTGGGGGCAGTGTGAGGTTAGAGTAGAGGTTAATTTTTCTGTTCCATATGGTTAGCTAGTTGTTCCAGCACTATTTATTGAGAAAATTATCCTTTTTCTTTTTTTGGTGGGGGTTAAATGTTTATTATTATTATTTTTTATTTTTGTATTTTGTCCTCCATCAATGACCACTGATATTACCTTGGCAGACTGTTGCAGAAGTATGGATATTTTCAACTTATGGGATTATTAAGTCGATCATTTCCGGTGTGGAGGAATGCAATTACAGGTATTTAATTTCCTTAAACCATATCTACATATGTTGGTTCATGAAGCTGCTCCTTGTTAAAGACATAAGTGATATTTTTGACAGTGTTAATGACGAAGTGTTTTTCCATAGCAGCAGCAATCATTCTCATTAGAAACATAAGAATAATTTCAATCATATAGGAACATATGGGTTTTATGTATTAACATGTTGTCGACTCATCCTTTAGATACGTTATTAATTCCTCTGGCAAAACAACATCATCTTATCCATGAGAAATGTCACCAGGATATGCACTAGAAATTGCATGGGTACGCCTTTTATAAGTGAAATGATCAAATTCTTGGAAAACATAATGAATATCTTTTAGCTTCAGACTTGGCTGAGTTCATAAACAGTAACACTTGGCTGAGTCTGGGTCTTAATTTATAAAGGTGATCGAATAGCAATACAGAGAGGCCAATGCCTCTAAAAGCAAAACAACAACAAAAATGCTCCAAGTACTCACAGTCCCCCTTAGAAAGGAGAGGCACTGCGCACTGTACAGGTACGCAGGAGGAGTGCCAGATTTTGGTAAGGTTTCAAATTATCCTTTTTCTATTTAAATATCTTGGTACCTTTTTTGAAAATTAATTGATATGCATGTGTGGGTCTAATTCTGGACTCACTGATCTATTAGTCTAGATGTCTATTCTTGCACCAATATCACAATGTCTTGATTACTGAAATTTTACAGTAAGTCTTACAGTCAAGTAGTGTGAAATCTTTAACTCTGTTATTCTTTTACAAAATTATTTTTGGTTATTCTACTCCTTTGCATTTCCAAATAAATTCTAGTATCGGCCTGCAATTTCTACTCCTGTTGAGATTTTTATTGGGATTGCCCTGAATTTATAGACCAATTTGGGAAGAAATACAACTGAACAAAACTGAGTGCTCCAATTCATGAATATAGTTATGTCTCTATCCATTTATTTATGTCTTCTTTAATTTCTCTCGGCAGTGTTTTATAGTTTTCAGTGTATAGGTCTGACACATATGAGTTAAATTTATCCCTAAGTATTCCATGTTTTTTGATGCTATTGTAAATGGAAATGTTTTTCCAATTATTTTGTTGTGAGTTTATAGAAATACAATTGCATTTAGTACATTGATCCTGTATCCTGTGACAGTGCTAACTACACTCCAGCTTTTCTGTACATTCTTTTGGATTTTTCTTGAACTCAATGTTATCAGCAAATAAGACAATTTTATTTCTTCCTTTTCTTTTCCTGATCTTAGGAGAAAAACATGTAGTCTCACCATTAAATGTGACATTACCTGCAGGTTTTTCTTTTTTTTAAAAATAAACACCCATTATCAGGTTGAAGAAGTTTTCTTCTACCCTTGGTTTGATGAGTTTTTATCATGAATGGGTGTTGAATTCTGGGTAATTACACTGATTGAATTTTGAATGTTAAACCAACTTTGCATGGCTGGAATAAACTCAGATTGATCATGGTATATTGTTCTTATAATGTATTGCTGGATTACTAATAGTTTGATAAGGAATTTTGTATCTATGTTTACATATAGTTTTCTCTTCTTGTAATACCTTTGGTTTTGGTATCAGAGCAATGCTGGTCTCATAAAATGAGCAGCGTGCGTTCCCTCTTACTTTCTGGAAGAATATGTGTATGATTGGTATTATTTCTTCCTTAAATGTTTGACAGAAATCACCAGTAAAGTCAGTTGGGCCTGGAGTTTTCTTTGTGGGAAGGTTTTAAATCATCAATTCAATTTCTTTGATATAGGATTATTTAGACTTTCTACTTCTTCAGTCAATTTTGGGAAATGTGCCTTTCAAGAATTTTCCCCATTTCATCTACTTGTTGAATTCATTTTTCAGTTTTCAAGGACAGTTATTCAAGGATAATCCGTTACTATCCTATCACTATCTCTAGGATCTTTAGTGATGACCCTCCCTTCATTCCAGATATTGGTAATTTATGTGTTCTCTCTTTTCCACCTATCAATTCAACCACTACTCTTACTCATCTTTTACAAACAACTTGCTTGTGGTTTCATTAATTTTTTTCTCGTTTGTCTATTTTTTATTTCATTGATTTCTGCTTTTACTTGTATTATTTCCTTCCCTCTACTTACTTTGGGGTTTTGTTTGTTTGTTTGTTTTTAGCTTCCTTTAGCTTCCTTAGATCACTGACGTTGGATCTTTCTTGTATACTAGTAAGCATTTAAAGCTATAAATGTCCCCTTAAGCAGTTCTTCAGCCACATGCCACTAATTTTGATATATTTGTTTTCATTCCACTCAAAATTATTTTGTAATTTCCCTTGTGATTTCTACTTTGACCACAGTCAATGTACGCTATTTAGTTTCCAAATATTTGGGTATTTCCCTGATATCTTTCTATTATTGATGTATATTACAATTCTGTTGTCATTAGATACCATCCTCTATATGATTTCAATCCTTTCACATTTATTGAGACTTGTTTTATGACCCAAAATATGGTCTACCTTGGTGAAGTTTCATCTGTACTTGGTGAATGTTCCACATACACAATACACACTGGAAAGAATGTAAGCTGACATGTCAGGAAACTGAATTATAGTCTCGTCTAAGCCATAACTCATTGAATGTCCTTAATCACTAATTCTGAGTCTAGTACTTTATCCAATATATAAATGTGTAAGACTTGATCTTCGTGATCTCTCTCCCTCCTTCATTAATTCCTTGGCAACCCTCCTATTGTAGGTCTTTATTACATTATACATGGGTTACTACAATTGCTTCCAAACTGGTCTTGCAATACTTGCATGCTGTTTCCCCCATTTTCCAGATCAGGCAACTGAGTGAGGTTTAAGAGAGAGAGTAACTTACCCTGGGTAATAAGAGACAGAGCTACGGCCGGGAAGCTACATCTTCCATTCTATTTTCAGCACCTGAAATGACTTATTCCTTCTCTCTGCTTATCTAAAACCTCTATCTCCTTCAATACCAACACTAATGCCTCTGCTTCCTCATAACCTTTCAGTCTTCCAAATTGCCAGGGGATATTATAATATTACCTCATTCATCTGCAAGGTAATCAAAACTTCTCTCATGATATCTTTTATTTATTGATCACCTTTTGTATTTTCATTTAAACTGTTCGGGTTAATGAAGGGAGACTGTATGAAAGGTTAAGAGCACTGGTTTTGTATAATCGTTAAGCAAAGCTGAATTCAAACTCTGGCTTTGCCACTTTGTGGCAGAGTGACCTTGGGCACAACGTTCAATTAAAAAAAAAAATCTTAAAAAAGTGATTTAACTGAATAGTAACTTTAAAAAAGAGAGCTAATTTCTAATCTTAGGAAAATGAAAGTTTTCCTGTTGTGCCTTTTTAAAAAAAATGTTCTACCTGATAAAGGCTATGCTGATCTCACAAATACTTATAAATAACACCCTAGAATGGTCACAGGACTATAGGTGAACCTTAATCTTAACAAGGGCAGAGATGCTAGAACATCCTACATCAGGGCCATGTCTTTACAGCTCCTTGTATTCCCATAGTATCCACCAAAGTTTCTTTCTTATAGATGATGCCCAGTTATGATTTGTTGATTTCTCATATTCCTTACAACTCAAAGATTAAAAATGCACATATAAATCCAGATTCGGGTTTATCATATCACAGGCTGTTCTTTTCCACATTAGATTAGAAATTAATATTTTTTCATACTTTATGGTTTTCACAAATTTTTAACTTCTATTGTCTCAGATAACAGTAATAAGATTTAAAAATATTTAAGAAATACCTTCAAACCAATCAAAGAGAGAAACAAAGTTTGGATTCCTTTGGAAAATTCTTGAACAAGATGGCTATAACAGCTTTCCAATGGTCTGCTTATTAACTCCAATACCTACAAAAGTTAAAGCAGTATTGTTTTTGTGTTGTTATAAAAAATAAATGGTGTTTTATATAAAATTTTACATTTTGCATAGATTTTGTGTAGGCAGAGGGAGACAAACACAGAGACAAAATAAAAAAGGAATTTAGCAAGTGTGCTCATGAAAATGAAAGATAAATAGGATAATACTTTTCATTGTTTGCCTGAAATACAAAAGTATTCAAATTACTCTTTCTAATTCTTAATTATAGAGAAGGAAATATTATTTAAAGGAATATTAAGAATAAATTTTTAAAAGATGATCTCATAAAACGGCTAGACCAAAGATCAAGAAAAGACAAAACCACTAACCAACAGATTGAGTATTACCTGTTGCTTGTCTTTTTCTTGTAATATAAGGATACTCTCCCCAATAGAGTCTATTCCAGCACGGCCAGCTCTACCAACCATCTGTTTATATTGATTCCTCTTTAAAAATTCCTTAGCAACATAGGGAGCTCTCAAAATAACTCTATGGAATTAATAAAATTAATTAAAAGTGATACTCTATAACAACAGCACCTATTTTTAAAATTCTTAATTTCATTATATCTACATGACTTTAAATTTAATGATGTATTAACTTAAAATAATAGGTAACTACTATTCACCAAGAATCTATGATGTCTTAGGTTCTTTATGTATATTATCTATAATTCTTACAAAACTCTTTGTAATAATATTCTTTTAAATTTATTTTTTTGTTTATTTATTTATTTATTTATTTTAAATTGGGGAATTGGGGGAGAGGAATAGTGTTGGGGAATTGGGGAGGGGGACCAGCCAAGTTGTTGTTCTTCAATCTTTGTTGTGGAGGGCGCTAGTCACCACTGGGCTGCCTGATAGCATCATCATGGCCTCTAAGCTCAAGGTGCTGTGTTACAACCTTAGTTGCGGGTGGGCATAGCCACCATCGCATGCAGGAGCTGAACCAGCAGCCTTGTTGTTAAGAGCACACACTCTATCCACTGGGCCATCTGGGCGGCAGCTCAGATTAAGGTGCCGAGCTTAGTCTTAGTTGTGGGCGGGCACAGCCCACCATCGAACAGGCAGTCTTGTTGTTAGGAGCACGTGCTCTCACCAGCTGAGCCATCCTGCCACCTGTTGGCAGCTCAGCGGCAGCTCAGCTTGGGCACAGCGTCACTGGCCCATGTGGGAATCGAACCGGCAGTCCTGTTGCTCAGAGCTTGTGCTCTTAAGCTAACTCTTAGCTAACTGAGCCACTCGGCCGGCCCTTAGATTTTAGTTTTTTTACAAAGGGGCTAACTAAAGAACAGACAAGTGGCTTACCTCAACCCACAAAATCAGTAATTACCAGAACCATGATTTGAACTTAAGTCTGCCTAGCTGCAAAGTTTATGACCAATCCACTATGGCAATAGTTTCCAAAGATTTCTGATTTTGTACTCCATAAATGAAACATCTCACCAGCACCACCAACCTATGCCTATTTATTTATGTACTCATATTTGTATTATTGTCAACTACATAAAATTGTAGATGTCAAGTGTTTTTTGACCTACAAATATGGTGGTTTCAATCCTGCTCATGTATATAGAAGTCTGTATCCAGTTTTCCTGTTCAAAGGTGAGAAAAAAAACCTGTCATTTACTGATACTGATCAACCTATTCCTTTATTTATAAATCTCACTGGACAGCCAAGATTACCAAACACTTCAAGAAAACTTATGACGTAACAGCAAAACAACAAGAAGGTAAAAAATAAATATCTGACAGAAGCAGATAACACAGGGAACAGAAATGAAGTTAAAAAAATTCTAATGAGTATCCACAGAAAATTCTAGAGGGTATTGTATTCACAATATGAGAGCAGGCTACTATAAAAAAGAGCAATAAAAGAAGAGCATTCTTAGAAATTAAGAACAAAATTTAAATTCATTCCAAAAATTCAATAGAAGAACTGAATAATGAATGAACATAGTTAATGGGATACAACTAAAAACTGATTTTGTTATACGAAAGGTAAAGTTGAAGAAATCACATAGCTCAAAGAGACTGAAAAATGTGTAAGAAAAAAGATATAAAAGCTCAGTCTAAGACGTTCCAACTCTGTATACATGAAGTTACAAAAGTGGAGAACAGAGATAATGCAGGAAAGAAATAGTAAAAGAAATAACCCAAAGAAATACTTTAAGATGAAGAAAGGCATAAAACTTTAAATTGAAAGCATATACCCAAGTGTTAAGTCCTATGAATGAAAAGTAGCTAAGTTGGGATAATTGGGATTGTAGAATTAGTTTCCCAGGTTCAAACCTTGGCTTTGAAACACATTTGTTGGGTGCGAAGTTGGACAAGTTATTTTAATTGTTCAGTGTCTCAGTTCTCCCTTCTATAAAATGTGGATGATAAAATATGACCTTCCTCACAAAGTTGTTGTGAGGATCTATTAAGCCAATGCATATAAAGCTGTGCTCACATGGGGGAGGGAGTGTAATAGCTGCAATCATTGTTATACACTATGATGAAATTTTAAGGTTGAAGACAAAGTATAAAAGCTTCCAAAGAGGAAAAAACAGCAAACCAACACAAAAATAAAAATGAGCACCACTGGCTCTTAAAAGACATGAAACAATATTACAAAGTTCCCAAAGGAAAAAACAATTGAATTCTTTTCCTAGCAAGGTGTTAAGGTGTGAAGCGAAAATAAAGACATCTTCAGCTTTGCAAAGACTCAAAAATTTTTACCCCTAATGCAGCATTTAAACAATTACTCAAGGTTGGCAAAATGAAAAATGAATCACAGAAGGAAGATGTATGATACAAGAGGTAGTGGTTAAGCAAAAACAAACAAGTATAATACACAGGAAAGTTTAAACACTTACTGGTTATATAAGATGAAAGAAAATTGAAAACCTGAAACTAAGATTCTAGGTAACTGCAACATACATACATGAAGCAGTGTAGGAGGATATATAAAGACTCTAATTATGTTCAGGAGAGAATATAATTATTGATTAATTCTACAATGATAGAAAAACATGTTTGATTACAATTGTTAAAATTTTAAGAGTAACAATTGGAATAAGAGAAATAGGATATGTAACTTCCTATTTTTTCCCCCTCCAGTTGTTTGGAAAATGGAAAACTTAATCATGACAGGGATTGAAAATAAAAGAATGAAAAAAGATATACTTGGCAGAAAATTGTAGTCCTAGTATTCTGAGTAAAATCACTAAATTAGAAAAACAAGGACCTATTATATTGATAGAAGGTATAATTCAGCAATATTTGGAGTAAACCTTTGTATACCTAGTTTTGAAATACAAAGTAAAAACTTCTAGAAATCCAAAAAGGAGAAACTGACAACTCCATAATTATAGTGGGAGACTAACACACCTCTGAAATTGACAGATCAAGGAATCACAAGTACAAAGAAAATAGGAGCTGATAACATGATTAATAACAGTGATATCACTGAGAACAGAAAACTACATACTCAACAGAAAATACATGATTTTTTAACACTCATGGATGATTTATAAAAATTGACCCTTTATTTGAAAAAAATGCCACAAATTATAAAGAACAGAAATCAATTATGCATGCATACAGCTTTGGTAATAACTGAGAAAGTAATAATCCAGGATCTATTAGTCTGAAAAAATGATACTATACTCAAAACTCTTTATGGATGAGTTCTCTAAAGTTCCAAGAAAAGTCCTATGTTAAATAAACTCTTTCAGATGATAAAAAATGGCATAAAGCTTTCTAACTGTTTCCACACAAGTAGGGTAATAAACCCTGACACAGAAACCAGATAGAGAGAGCACACAAGAAAGGAGGAATTCTAATACCAGGAAATCTACTATGTTATTTTTCATAAAAATATTAAAGGAAATAAAACAATCAACTCAGCAAATACTGAAAAAAACATCTGATAAATTCTCACCCACTACTGAGAAAGAATAAATCAACAACAAAACTCCTGGCAAGCTAGGAATTGAAGTTTTGAACCTGACGAACAGTTGCTTATATCTTATCTCACCTTCGAGCTGGTAGGTTAACACCTGCTGCTAGGGTAGATGTGCAGGTTAAAAGGCAGAGAACTCCCGTGGAATAGGCCTCCTCCAAGAGCTTCTTTTCATCACTCGTCAAACCACTATGGTGATAAGCAATTCCTAGTGGGACCGTGCGCTTTAAAACAGCACACAAGTTGCCACTGTTGATATTCTTCAAGTTCTTAATCAGCTCCTGTTTTTCTTTCTCCCTGTGTTTCATATATTCCCTAGGAAAAAAGTGTTAGAATTCTGAACCCTGATCTTATAGTAACAAAGTGCATGATTTTGATTTTAGTAGATGCATGTAAACATTCTTTTAAAAAATGTATTAATGTTATTGATATTAGTACATAAAATGTTCTTAGAATTTTAATTCTGATCTCTTTAACTATTAGGGAGTCTCTCAACTTTTCTGTGCATCACAGAGCACTGTGAAAATTTGATTAAAGCTTAGGAAAAGAAACAAATATTCACATAAACACAACACTTTGCCTATAATTTCAGAGGGTTTGTGGCCTTCCCAAAGTTCATTCCTTGACTTCCTGTGAATCCATGGACACTGTGGACAACCAGTTTAGACCCCTGCCCTAGATGTTATGATTATTTTTTTCACTAGATCATATATCTTTATTAAAGATGATTTATTTAAGGGCCGGCCGAGTGGCGCGATGGTTAAGAACTCGCTTGGGATGCCAGAAGGCCCCAGTTTGGATCCCACGTATGCTGGTCAGTGACACTGCCCTCTACGGCCAAGATGCTGAACAACAGCTCGACCTGGAGCTGGGTTGCCGTGAGTCGCTGGCGACGGTGTAGGCTGCAGCCCCTGCTGCAGTGGGTTGCCATGACAGCAACTTGTCTGTTCCCCTTCCCCCAATTCCCCAGCACTGTTCCTATCCCCCCAATTACCCAATAAAAATCTTTAAAAAAAATGATTTATTTAATTTTAAATAATACATTTTCTTCTCTTAAGATGGAAACATATTTTTAAATCATATGTATTATCTGTAAAAGACTGTCTAAACACTAGTAATTTAGAAGCCTCAATAATATTCTACCATGTCTCTGTATCAAGAAGCACCTATTATTATAAATTCTATTTAGAAAAAAAAGAAAGACTATAACTCATTACCAATTGAGTATAAAGCAACAACTTCTGAATACTAGTAGCAAAAAACATCGTCCAAGATATAATACACACAGCCTTTCGTTGTTTTAGTCTGCTTCATGGAAAGAATAGAGCCCTGGCAGGTGTTCACCAAAGGCCAGTAATTTCATGAGAAGTTGAGAAATGGGAGGCAAGGAGACAAAAGAAGAACAATGAAGAATTGGGAAGAAAGTGGTCAAGAGTCATCAGTGCAAGAATTAGAACTGACAGGTGAGTAGGGGAACAGTAGATTTTCTGTTACTATTTCCCAGCCAGCATACAAGGTCCTGAAAGGGAGGTAGGTATAGGATGAACCCTTCTCAAGGAATTAAGTCTTATATGCAGTGAGAATATGACCATAAAATTTTAGAGAAGGGAGACATTATTTAGAACTGACCAGATAAGACATGGTTGTATGGAGAAGGGTTTTTGTGGGAGAGCTTGAGATCTGAGCTGGTCTTGAAGAACAGGTGTTAGAGAGGTGGCAATAAAGACTCAGGCAGAGCATCTTGGCAGAGGGTAAAGCATGATCCAAAGCACGAAAATGCGACGTTCAAGGCACAAAGAAGAGAAGTAGTTCAGATTGGATGACTTGCAGGGTGACTGAAGGAAGAGTAGAAGAAATAAGGATGGAAAAGTAAGCTGAGTCAGATTATTAGCCTGAATTCTACGCTAAGAAACACTGAGGTATCATTTTGAGGGAGATTTTTAGGAAAGTGACCAGAACTTTGGTCAGCAAATAGTGTTTCAAAGAAATTCTTGACTAAAAGTCAAAGGAAGTAACAGCTGCAAAAAGATAATATTCTTGAGACTGAACAATCACTTCAGGAAAATCTGCTTCGATCTTTGTATTTAAATAGATATAAAGCCATATTCTACTCCCCATGCAATTGTATCTGCTTCCCAAAAAATTTATGATAAGGAAGCAAATAATTAAGATACAAGCTGATATCCCAGCATTCTCAATAAATCACGTTTTAAAGTCATGGAGATCAGAACCCATTTAGCCCTAGATCTCACTTCATCTACATCTAAATTACAGACTAATATAAAAAAGTATTCTCTAAATACGATTCCACATTTTAGTCAACAGTCACAAAATAGGGACATTATACTCAGAACATTCAGCTTACAAAAGCAGCAAGTAATATGGAAAATATACCTTAGAGAAAATTTTCCTTTGGAGACAAAGTATGAACTCCTATCTCTTTAAGAAAGTATTAAGTATCCATTACAATTCATTAATTAAGGATTCTGGAGAACAACATTTTTAAATGCTTCAATATTAAACACTAACATTTATGACCCAAATAAACTATTATCTTCAAAAAGCAAAATAAATCAAGGGTGTACCTTACAAACCTCATCTCTTCCAGTCAATTGTTAGTCTGAAAATTTTCATATTACTTACCATGCTATATTACCTTAAATTATTCTAAGAAAATGAGCAATTTACTTAGAATACCTCAATAATAATTTAATTTCCTTTAATCAACATCATCACTGTAAAGTACGCTATTAGTTACCAAAATGGGAAACTCCTAGACTTTATCCCAAACATCTGTGTCTTTATGCTATTCAATAAATTTAACTCGATTTTAGACCAATCCATGACAGAATTGGGGGGAGGTGGAGGATGACTAGGCTAGAATCCAGGGTAACGGTCTATGAATAGTGATATAGGACTGGCTAAGGGGCAAAAAAGAAGTCTGAAAAAAATGATAAAACTACACATGGGATAAATAGGTGTAGGAAAAACTGAGCTGTTCATACTTAAAATAATGTTATACTTACCTCTGTGAGTATAACAGAGCCAAAATTAAAACAGTATAAAATTACAAACCAATATAGTTCTAAATTACTTAGGAAATTCAATTCAAATGTTCATACAACTTAAGAAAACAAGGCAACAATATTTAATTAAGAGAAAATCAAGCTGAAGATATGATTTATCCCCACAGCGATTAGTCCTTTGACCATCTAAGCCAGTGGCTGACCTTGGATGCAAGCTGGACTTGTCTAGGGAGCGTCACAGAATGAAGCCTGGGTCCCACCCCCAGAAATTTTGATTTGTCTAGGATGTAGCTTGGGCACTGGCATTTTTAAAAGCCCTGATTCACTGTGCAGCCAATGTGGAGAATCATCGATCTAAGCTATTATATTAGCATTCTCTTACATGTAGCCTTATAAATTTTCTCTGGCTATTTTTCAGTGCTAAGCTTTCTTCAAGGTCAAGGTCTTTAGAATCTATTATAACAACTAAACATACTGCAAGAACTAATTACTGCTTATTAAATAAACAGAATATACAGCATGTAAATCATGACAAAAATAGAATAGAATACTTTTAAAAGATAAACATACTTGCTTAAAAATTTGCATATCATTTCGGCTACGTTTTCACAGTTCTTCTTAGTGGGACAAAAAACTAAGCAGGAATAATTGGGAATAACTTCTGTCACCAATGCTACCAAGCGATCAGGATCCATCTTTTTCAGAGTATCAGAATACTGCACAACGAGATGTAGCAACAAGGTATTAGTTAGCTATCATAAAAGCCTGTCATTTAACCAGTGTGCTTGGAAAGGTAAGTAAACCATCCATAATTTAAAATTTTTGATTTAATACATCTGATCATTAAAAAAAAACATGAAACCTATACTAAACATCAAAATGTTAAGTCCTACTTTTAGGTTATTAAGGTCTCGTTAGGTATATTTGGTTTTAAATTAAAGAAGTAAAAATACGTAATGTTATTAATAACTTCACTGCATGCCCATCTCCACCAAAGCAGCACAAAAAAAGACCACAGAGAGAAACACAGATTGATCCTAATAATAGTCAAAGGGCTGTGTAAGTAAGATATACCTTTATCACTAATAGTTTTATAAAACCGATTGAATCATACTACAGGTCACATTTTCAGAAATAAGAAATATATTTATCAAGCAGACACAAGGAACTCAAAGAACATGAAGAAAAAGGTGGAGTTATTTAAAATCTCACTTCCTCCAACATTCTGAAATTATGAATTAGAATTCATAGAATTCTAAAACTGTTGTAAAAATCCCTTTCTCTCCTTTTTAATATCCTTCATGTCACAGAACATTAACATAGTAGACATTAACAATTTCATACACCAATATCTGAATTACATAGCCCACAAATGTTTCTTTTTGCTGTTCCTGATACATGAATAAACATTTAAGGGAGAGGTCCTGAAATTTTCTTGTTTAATGGAGCCTAAAGGCCAAAAGAACTAACAGTTCTGTTTATTGGGGAGTTAGGTCTAAACAACTTAATAAGTATATATTTCCTCACAGCTAAGTAGCTGTCTGCATAAATAATATACATCGATGGAATGATGTTTTTATTTCATTCATAAATAACCACAACAGCCCACTAATGGGGTGTGTGTATAGCTAGGCACTGCAGTCTTCCAAACCTTGAAATTAGACTGGACATAACTACTCTCATTTCCTGTTCCATATTGACTTTCACATGGTATTTGCTTATAGCAACAGCAAAAAAACTCAACTTCACAAAGACATTAAGGCATAGAAAGAAATGTAGTGTGACCTAATGTTGAACTGGAAACTCTCTTGAACCAGTAGTTTGTGTGTTGTGTGGTGTCCAACAGATGTCAAGCATCAGAGGTTTTTCCCCAAAATCTAAACAATTCAATGGCACTGATGTGACTCTTCTATGGTGCCCCAAGGCACTTGGGCACAAAGTCTGGGAACCCATTACTTTGGTCATTACTATTACCTTATAATTAAGGAGGTCATTACTATTACCTTATAATTAAGGAGACGTGAAAAAGTTATGCCATTCTCAGCTTTGCTGTCAACCTCATATATTGCATCATTTATTTTCAGATATTCTTTTAATTCAACCTTGAATTAAAAGGACATTTGCAATTAATAACACATATAAATTCCTTTACCCAGTTATACATTTTGTAAAATATGTTGTAAAATAAAAAAAAACCACCTACACAAAATTTTAGCTTTTGTAAGGTATGTAAACACGCTTTAATTAAAAGTATTTTCTTTACCATTTCTTTTTTTGAAATCTCTTTTCCCCCCTTAAATCAAAACAGGGATTAATATCCTTAAAAAAAGTACTTCTGAATGGAATAGCCACAATATCTAGACCATACATTTTCTTATTTTTTGCAAGAAGTACAAAATCTGTTAAGTATTTACAATCTTTATCTTTTATTGAGTTATTTGTGTTATTCCTTGAGAACTAAAACTGTTTTATTAGTCATCAGTTTTCATTCTAAGTACCACCATATTTTTTTTAATTTTAAGTATTCATAGACAAAAAAGAAGTTTGTAAATATAGTTCATATTTTTGAAAGACTAGTGTCTAATTTGACAATTAAGATCAGAAAGTAGCCTTAAACCTGCCATGAGTCGCCGGCGACGGCTTGGGCTGCAGCCCCTGCTGCAGTGGGTTGCCATGGGCTACCGTGTGTAGCCAGCAGCCACCGTGAGCGGCCGTCCAGAAGCCGGCGACTTATCTGCCTCGCCAGGGAAAAGCGCAATGATGGTGCCAACTTGGGCCAGTGAAGCAACTTCCTTGACAACTAAATTGAAGAACAAAAGGACAGCAACTTGTCTGTTCCCCTTCCCCCAATTCCCCAGCGCTGTTCGCATCCCCCAATTCCCCAATAAAAATCTTAAAAAAAAAAAAGTAGTCTTAAACATTTTCATATTTGGTGGAAATGTAAAAACATCAACTTTCAAGTTAAAATTTGGCAATTCTCAAAAATTATTTTCTACAAACACATTTGGAGAGAGAATATGCACACTAGTACTACAGACAGATACATTTATTTACTTTCTTTTGAGAATTTTGGGAATGCTATTACTGGGGAGTTTAAATTTAAATCCACATGAAGTCTAAACATATTTAAAAAGCATTATAACTACTAAAGCATAAATATTTTAATTTTAAGATAACTTTTTTAATGTGCCAATAACTCAAAACATAAATCACTAAATTTTGACTGAATGGAAAATTTCACCTTAGAGAATAACAAGTGGAAAAACAAAATGGGTCTTGAAAGTTTCATTGAAAAAACATTCATTGAAGGCCCATGGGCCAGGCACTGCTCCGGGTGCAGCTATGACCCAAGCCAAGATCCCTGACCCCACAGAACTTACATTCTCTATACACAAACTCTTATTTGCATATAGCCACAGTGAGGGGAATCACGGCCCTTCACCACTCTATAGAATTTTTTTTATATGGTACATTTGCTACTGTTGTTTCTAAGTAAGATGATACATAACAAATCAATGCAGGGCAAACCTCAGGTACATACTGGTCTGAATTGACTGGCGTAATATTCTGCTTGAAGAAACTTTTGTAGGTCTTCAACATTGCTCAATGTTGCACTCATACCAATGATTTGAGTTGTTTCTTAAAAAAAATGCAAAGTATTGAGAAAAATTTGTTACTTAGTATATCATAATAGTAATTTTAGCAACCTTTTTGTGTTCTAAATTCTTCCTGAGTGATTTGAAAAAGGGGGAAGGTGGAGGTAAGAAAAATGCAAGCATATTATCAGAGAATTAATCTAGCAATCTAAGAATGAAAACTTTCTTATATCCTGAAAGTTACTATTTAGAATTACATAAAATTTCAAACTTGGCAAGAACTAGGATCTTTACTAACACTTCTAAACAACAATAATGAGTATAAATATGCTTGCTGCTCTCTGGACCATCATTATGGAGAGTTACAACAGGTTCCGCAGGTACAGTTATATACAGATGGACAGCGTAGGATGCAGGGCTGAATGGGTCCTGAACTCTTGCCACATGAAAATTCCATTATGGGATCTTGCTATCAGGTTAATTTTTCTTTATTTTAAAATAAAGGTGGAGGAAAATTCATGAAGCTGCATGGCTTCCTAGGCAATACAAAACTGCACTTTCTACACACTTAGCTATTGAATCAAAAAACAAAGAAGCCTTTTTAGCAAATGCTTCTTCATTGTTGCTGTCTTTTGTCTTGAAATTTTATCACTCAAGATGTTATCTGAAAGAGAAATAAGTGTTGTCTCTTCCCACTCCCTAAGGGTAGACTATAAAGCTGAAGAGGTGAGCAGGGGGCCAAAACAGAAAGGCTGTCCTTAGAAATTTGGGATTTATGCAGAAATGAAGGGAAGCTATGAAAGGACTGTAAACAGTAAAATAAACTAATGGGATTTGCATTTGGGAAATATTCTAACTGCTCTAGAGAAGATGGGTTTGGTCCGGGAAAGGGCAGCGATCAAGACTGAAGGCAGATGAAAGTGTGCTGATTTCTGCGGTAATGTAGATAAGAAAGGATGAGGTACTGAGCTAAAGGTTTAGTAGTTAAAAAGGGACAGGAGGAAAACTAAATAAATAAATAAATAAAAAGAAAGAAAGAAAGAAAGAAGGAAAGAAAGGAAGGAAGAAAAAAAAAAGGGACAGGAGGGGGAGAATTTAAATAAAAGTGTATCTATGAGGTATTTACCAGATAGGATTTGGTTGCTGACAGAATGTGCAAGAGTGAAGACTGTAAGATTCTGGCTCGGCTGGCTGGCAAATGGTGACAGGAAACGCAGGCTGAAGAATGGGTTTGAAGGAAATGAGTTAGACTTAGACATGGTGAATCTGAGCTGTTCACAGGATATTCAAGTAGGAGTGTCCAGCTGGCAGATGATATTACTCAGAAGAGAACTAGCTGGGAATAGAGATCGGGAGCCATCAGCACACAGGAAGCACTTGAAGTCATGAGCATGGGTGAGAGTTAGCAGAAACTGTAAGAGTAGGACACCTGGGAAGAGCCTAAAATGAATCTATCGTAGCAACAATACACATAATGAACATGCTTAGAACGAGGTGTCACAAAGGAGAAAAGAAGGAAAAAAAGTAAAGAGATTAATTTCATTTAAATATCTATTAAGTGTAAGGCATTGGTGATAAAGACAAATAAGTATACAGCAATAGCAAACACATGTCCATTGTGTGCAGGTACTATGCTAGATGCCTGAGAAAGATTAGCTCATGCCATCCTCACAGCAATTCAGTAAGGAAGGTTCTATTACTATCATCCATTTTTGAGGCATAAGGAAAGGAAGGCAGTTACTGTAATTTGCCCAAGGTCACGTACATAGTTAAAAGTGAGCCAGGATTTGAATCTAGTTCCAGAGTCTATCGTCAGCCGTTATGTTATGCTATTTTTCCAGGCTAACACATGATCCCTTTTACACAGAGATAACAGGGAAACCAAGATAGAATGATGTTGCAGCACCCAAAGGGAAAAAGAATGATAAACAGTCAAATGCTGAAGAAAAGCAGAGACAAGAACAGTCAGCATACACAGGATGTGACAAGCAGGTGATCATTCTCCTTTTTTTCCCTGTTTTGTATTTTTCCAAAGAACCTGTCACCATCTGACACATCATATGTCTGTCCGTTTACTTTCAGTAAAATGTGTTTGATGAAGGCAGGGACATTGTTTTATTCACTGCTATATCCATAGCACTTAAAGTAGTGCCTGGCACACGCTCAATATTTTTTGAGTGAATGATTATAAAGTGCTAAAATATGTCTAAGTAATCTTGCTATTAAAAACTTTTAAATAATTCTTAAGATCTGATCTTTATAATAATTTTTGCATATAAAAGATAAGTTATTGCAATAGCTTATCATTAAATAGTGGAGAAAATATTTAGAGTATTTCATGTACATTTAAAGAATATATGATGTCAAAAAATAGTTCCTTAAAGTGACTACTTGAATATACTGCATTATTGGTATGATGATGATGATGATGATGATATTGATGGTGGACCTGGTAGCAGCAAACTCTTATTGAGTGCAACGTGCCAGGCACTGCCGAATGCTTCTCATGAGTTAACTCATATAATCCTCACAACAACCCCATCAAGTTAAGACCATTATTATCCCCATTTTACAGATGAGGAAACAGAGAGGTTGAGTCACCTGCCTAAGCACATACAGCTAGTAAGTGAAGGATAATAATAGAGACGTCCTCGAATGTTAATTGCATTTATTTTCACAATTATCCTCATTCATTCATTCTTCCAACAAAAATTTACAAGCTTACCTTAGAAATAAAAAAATCTAAGGCAGAGAGCTTAAGTATCTTACTCTAGTTAAGCTTGCTGCCTTAGATTTTTGTAAAGTATCTTACTCTAGTTTACAAAATCTAGCTAGTGATAGAATTAAGTCTTTTATAGGTCTCTCGATTATAAATCAATTAGTGACCACAGTTAAAAAAATACTTACTACTAGTGTAGAGGATTTTTGCTAGGGTCATTTCCAGTACAGCTCCACGGCTTCCTTCACCAATCATGTGCAACTTGAGATGAAAAAAAAAAGGAAAAAAGTAAATTTGCACACATTGCCTATATAAGACATGCATATATTTTTATGAAATGAAGTAATCTTTACAACTCTTAAGTATTTTGGATATAGCAACTAGAATATAGATGCATATTTCACTTGTATTTTAAGTTAATGAGGTTTCTGAGTAACATCTTGACACATCTGAAATTCATAAGTACTGTTATAAAATTGAATATACACACACATATATTTACTATTCAAGAAAACTTGACACAAAACTGAATTTAAGATTACCAAGCATGAAATGTTTTCATCTGTACTGTTTATGTATTAAAATATATTATTCTCACAGAGGTACTAAGCAGATCCACATAATGTTAGTATAATAAAAACGATAAGTTATAAAAGTAGCAACCCACCTCATCCACAACAACCAGACCAAGACTGCTAATCCTTCCAGTTTCAATCAATGAGTTGACCAGGCCATGTCCTTTTTCAATAGTGGCAATATATAGTGATTTCTTTTTCCTTCTTTTAATTGGAGGAAATTTGCCTTTGCTTCCAGCATATTCTTCAACAAAGAAGCCCAGTTCTATACCAAAACTTGACAAACCTGAAATCTAGAATATTAGTCAAAACGAACAAACAAAAAAAGCCAAATAAATAAGAACTCTAAATATTAAGTGTACACAGGGATTTCAAAAACCTAAAACTGTGTTTAATACCAATCAATGGGAACAAGATCACAGATAAGACATATATATCTAAGAAATGTCAGAATTAATGTGTTGATCTTTGAAAAAGGAACACTATTTCTAAACTACATATGAGAAAGTAAATTTCAAGTCTCCTCTGATGTAAAAAAATCAGGGCACCTCATTTATTTTGATGAAATAATTGACTCCAAACTAAATATAAATAGAACATTTATAATGGAGTTTAATCTACCAGTTTAGAAAAAACCCCACTTTTTCTGCAATAGGTAATCAGTATCAGAAGAGATTTTCAGTTACGTACCTCCATATTGCTTTTGTATATTCTAAAAATATTAATTCTGAATTGTTAATAGAGGTACATCTTTTCAGTCAATAAAAAGTTATACGTATGCTACTTTTTATATCTTAACGTCAAAATAACATTAGCAAATACCATTTATTAAATAAAAAAAGAATCACACCTTTTCTTGGACAATTGCCACATACGGAAGGATCATTAAAACATCTTTGTGCCGGCAAAGCAGTTCTTGTAGCATTAAAATCTCAGCGACGAGGGTTTTTCCACCACTAGTTGGCAAGGAATATATTAAATTTTTTCTTTCTTGCACAGAATTCAATGTTAAGCAAGTATGTTGCCATTCTGTAGAATTAAAAAAAAACCACCACAACATTATTTTCCCCTTCTCCAATCTCAATCTCAAGAAAGTTTTCTAAGGAAAAAATCCTTCAAAGTCCAGGAACTTTACTTTGAGAACCGCTGCTTTAGCTCAATGAAAAAGTAGCACACATCATGTCATTAAGCCAGATTTACAAGTCGAGATTTAAAAAGTTATTTACCAAAGTTCATACTTCAAAGCTACTAATAAAATTACTAGCAGTCACCACTGAAATCTAATTTGGCATGTCCTTGACACAGAATATAACTTGCAAGACAACTGTTATATTAATGTTATCATCATCATCCCTTTTTAATAGATCAGGAACTAAGTAAGGCTCAGAGGGCTAAACTTGTGTTTAAGTGACAGGACCAGAATTCATAACTAGGCTGACAACCTCCAGTAGTTGAGAACCTACCAGAGTGTACCAGGCACACAGCTAGTTACATATAAAAAGATGAGTTAGACAGAGCCCTGCCCTTAGGGTACTCATTCTGGTAGGAGATGCAGATTAAACAAAGAGCAATGTGCTGGGAGAAAAGCAAAAGGCAGAAAGTTAACATCTACTTCAAGAGCAATGCACAGCATTCATTCGTTCTTAAACTATAAATCTCACAATTTAGAATTAGACTCCTATAGTCTTATGAGTATATTAGACTTTGTTTCCTGTAGTCCTACTTCTCCAACCTGATTGTCGCCTTCCTGAGATGAGAGCCCATGTTTTCACATGGTTCATAAGATACTAACAAGAGTTTAAGAATTTATGAAGTGATTGGTTGATAGGGATGGCAGCAACTTCTTTGTCCAAAATGACACATATTTGAAATATATGCAAGAACCCAGGATTTTTGAAAAACATTACATGATACATTGTTAATAATATTCTTTGTACTTAAATCTTAACTTCAGCTATCTTTAAAGACGTTTAGTTTTAATCAATGGTATTAGTAATATGACTTATTTCACTCGAGACATCTCGTAGTCAAAGGAATTTCAACAACTAAGTTTTGGTAGAGAAGACAGAGCCAGCCAAAGAAACACCCAGAAAACTGAGGAGCCGCTCAACAACAGAGAAAAAAACAGGAGTGGAAATATCAAGAAAAAACAAGTTACTGAGAAGTCAAGTAAGGTAAGAATTAAAAGTATCATTGGGTTTAGACACTCGAGTCATTTTATCTCAACTGAGAGCACAGAACCCAGCATTGGAGTAGGATGGGGATTATTTGAGTGAGAAAAGGGAGATAGCAAGGATAACAGGTTTGAGAAGTGTGACCATGAAGGACAGGGAAGAGGTTCAGTAGTAGCAGGATAGGGACAGGCTGAGAGGACTGACACTTTGAATTGTTTTTAAGATGAGATACATGACCATGGAAGTATCTGCTTTCTGTTGATTTTCACTAATACTATGTTAATGATGGTAAATGTTTTTAAAATTCCAGCAAAAAGCATTACCATATAATTTTTCAATTCCCTTGAACTGAACATAAAGGTCTTTCACTTTGCTGGGTAATGAATAAAAAGGACCAAGGTCATCTGACGATGACTCAATTGTTTTCTTAGCAACATGAATTTCTTCAGATAGGAGAGTCTCTTTGAGCTGTTTAGTCCTAGCAAATATTGGTGTTTGAGCCTTGGCATTTCCAGTCATGGTGCTTTTTAGATGATCTTTAAGACTTTTTCTCCTATTCACATCTGAACTAGCTCTGGCTTGAGAAGAGGACTGATCAATTTGCTGGGGTTGCTCTATGCTATGATGGGGCAATTCCTCATTCACAGTCTTGTGAGAGAATGAGTTCCAATCCCTCTCTTTAGTAGACTGATCCCCCAAATTATCTGAAGAGTTCTGCAAATTTTCAAAGTATAAAACCTGTGAAGAAGGCAATTCATACAAAAGATCAGCTCCAGGTTTGGAAGAGACATCTTCATGCCCGCTCTGGTTCTTTGTGGGCGCATCCGTTTTTGATTCAGTACAGCTGCCCACTGTAGGAATGCTGAGTTTGTTATGTTTGATGCTTTCTGAACAAAGATTTTCAGTGGCAAAGTCTGTACCATGTTTCCTGTTTTCAGGAAGTTGCATATATTTTTGTTCCAGGTCATCAACTTGAGCTAAAAAAGAGTTTTCAGCAAAGCTATCATAGTCACCAAACATGTCCTCTTCACTGTCATTATTCTGGGAAGAAAACAAAAATATTTATGGTCAATTATAGCTTCATTAAGATAAAAGTTTCAGCCTAGAACTATACCAGGTATATAATTAAATGGCCACATATGGATTATAAACCTAAATGTAAATCACTCTAAGAAACAGATACTATTATCCCTATTTTACAGATGAAGAAATGGAGGCTCGGAGAGGGTAATACTGTGACTTGCCTAAAACTGCACTCATGGTGTATGGTGGTGCTGGGATACTAATTCTTAAACTAGTGCTAAACCCTAAAAGCGGTAGCAAGATTGATAAGACATCTATTGGGACGTCATCTCACTAGAAGTTCTGATAACTGCACTATCCTTCCCCTCCCAGACTCCAGCCTACAAAGAGTGGTGACAAAACCAAGCTTCTACTACTGAGCACTCCAAGGAGATTCTGTCCCTAGGAATTTGGGATTGAGAGTCTGCACACTGACGTGGGGTGGTCAGCTAAACAGAAGACATGTAAATTTGGAGATAGCAATATAGTGCAGTGATTAAAAAATACAAGATTTGAAGTGAGAAGTGTAATTTCTTAACTTACTGATTTCTATTGTAAAATCTAGATCAGCGGTTCTCAACCTTCCTAATGCCGCAACCCCTTAATACAGTTCCTCATGTTTTGGTGACCCTCAACCATAAAATTATTTTCGTTGCTACTCTGTAACTGTAATTTTGCTACTGTTATGAATCGTAATGTAAGTATCTTTTTGTTTTGCGATGGTCTTAGGCGACCCACAGGTTGAGAACCCGTTGATCTAGATAATATAAATAGCTTCAAGTACCCAGCCCATAATGAGTGTGCAATAAATGGTAGATTTTACTAGTAGAGCAGAAGCAGCAATAACTTCGAACTCTAACTTTTACGCCTGTCATGCCACTTCCTTGCTGCATGTATAACTTTTATGTCTCGGAGTCTACGTTTTATACCTATGTAAAAAACAATACCTCTCAAGTGGGAACTCACAGTGGTAATAAAGCCATGGTAAGCACATGAGGACTAGCAGATAATTGGTAAACTGTTTGCACCTGAGAAGGGAAAGGCCAAAATTTTGTAGTTTCAAGTTCCATGCCTTCTATAGTTCGGTCTCCCACTCTTTCAGGGGGTACGCGCAGTAGGAGGCCTGGGTTTGTAGCATCACCCCAAAGGTGGGAAATGGAAAGGGGAACTCGGGGGAACTGGAGAACTGATGGGGCTGTACCTCGACCGGTTGCATGCCCACAGTTTTCCGCCGCGGGCTCCGAGCCACCATCTCCTCCTCCTCCTCTTCCTCATCGCCCGGCAAGAGCTCGGCCGCGGTGGGGGCGGCAAAAATGATCCCTAGGCTAGGACGGTTCCTTTTGGGGACACACACTCGCCGGCGGATGCGGGAACCACCTTCATCCATGGCAGGGGTCCGAAAGTCGTCCCCCGTGATCCAGCCGCCAAACCCCAGGGGAGGGGTGAGTGGAGGACACAGCGCCGGCTGCCGAAGGGGAGTAAGCCGCTGGGCTCTCCATCCGTCTTTGGGAAAGCCCACAAATTAATTGCTCTCGGGCCGGAAGCGGAGACACAGGCGCCTTCTTCTCATCCAATCACACGCGGGCTTGCGGCGCGGTGGGGGTGAGAACGTGAAGGTGCTGCGCAGCCACACTGAAAACCCTCCGACGGCCTCCATCCCGAGTACCCCGCGTTTGCTAGCGGAACCTTTGACTGGAGTGCTCGGGTTGGCAGGGGAGGGGCACCGGAAGGGACTTGACAGGACGATTTAGGAAAAGGGAAGGAAGAGGAGCGAGGAACCATGGCTGCTGTGGTTGCCTTTGGCGGTGGTCTAGGGAGGAAAAAGTTGACCCACTTCGTAACGGCCACTGTCTGCCTCCCAAATCCTGGAAATCGCGCTGGTAAAGTCTCCTTATCTTATGCTCCGTTTTAGCATTGCAGCCGTTGCCTTAGCCATAATTAGGTCGGTGGAGTCGCCGCTGTTAGCTAAACGACACCGGTTTCCAGGCGATTTAAGTTTCTGCTTGATGGGAATCTGTAATGGCCCATGACTGCTATTTTAAGGCTGAAGGGTATGCGAGATGTTTTCCAGTACATTTTCTTTTTCAATATATGAGGAGAGTAATGGGGTGATTATCAAAAAGAGGCAGGGACTTACTTGCCTAACATCTCCGGGTAAAGTAGGTAAGGAAGGGACATTTGCAGTTATCCAGCGGCGAATTCCAGATGTCTGAGGTCCCAAATCGGGGCGAAATTGTGACATAGGCCCTCGAATTTATCATTTCTGCATCTTTATCTTCTGTGTGCTTCTCTATCGATAACAACTCTATGTAGGGGTTCTGTTACTCATTTTCCCTTTGGTACAATGAATGCCTTTTTTGTTGCTTCTCCCCTAAGTATTTGCATTAAAAATGTCTCTAACCATGGAGTGAAGGGAAAATAAATTTCGGAAAAGAGGAGGTGAAAGGTTGTATGGGTGAAGAAAGAGTGGATATGTCTTTTTCCCAAAGCCCTGGAAAGCACATCTATGTTAAGTCTTATTCTGTCTCAAATCAAAAGGGTTTTATCCAGCCAGTGTGAGTATAGTATAAAATGGCTTTTATATTGTGCCCCTTGATTAATCTTGTCTCCATCAACACAATTTCTTCAGTTACTTACCAAACAAAAAGAATTGGTTTGTTGCTGTTTCTGTTTAATTGCAGTGCTGTGGAGAAGTTGTTCACAGTATAAACAGGTAACCAGCAATGAGGACCTGGTAAGAATTTTTTTTTCTTCCTTTTTTATAAGGCATGTGCAAAAATGACCAAATTCTTATATTTTACCTATTTGAATAGAGTTCAGCTAGAGGACAGAACAATCAATAATCATTAATCAGTCTGAAAATTATAATTCATTGATAAGTAGTCACTTGAGTTTTGAAGTAGAATTCCTAGATTCCTAGCAAGAAGCATGGCTTCTATAATACCGTATTTTTCTTCCTAGATCTTAAATTTAAGGATATGTGCTTTGGGAATTAAAAAAGGTAATTATGGTGGATGGAATAAGTGCAGATAATCCAACAAAGCTTACCTACAGGTTGGCTCTCTTCCTCATTTCAAATTCAATTATTTGTCCTATTCATCACTTTTTGGTATGGGGTTGGGGACTAATGAGGGATTAAAATGAAAGTTTTATACCAGGATATTAAATATAGTTTCTTCTCACCTGTAGATGTATTTTTATGGGTTTTAAGTAACTGGCATTGAACTTGGGCAGTATAGGTTTCCTTACTACACTGCAAAGATAATTGGACACCAATCAGACCATACAAAGCACTTAGTAACGTATAGGGAAGAAATATAGTCATTATATGTGAGCTGAATGTAAATTGGATAAAGAAACTTTGAGGAGTTGGAAAAAGAAACCAAAAGAACTCCACTAGTCCTTCTGAGCATTTGTCTTGGTCATCTAATTCACACCATAGTTCAAGAGAGTAAAGGAACTATGTGCCTTTTTAGGTCATAAACCCCACTGAGACTCTAATGAAAACTATGGGCTCTCTCAGAGAAAGGCACAGTTCCACTCATTTGAAACTTTACATAAAACTATAAGGGTTCAAGGACTTCAAAGTCATTTCTGCATTAAGAATCTCTAGACTGGAAATGCTTATACTGATTGTAGGAGGGAGGCATTGTGACAGAAGCATTAAGGCAGTAGTAAAGACAGAAAAAAAAATGCTGACACATACTTATAAAGCAGTCAGGGAGCCATGAAATTATAGTCAAAGGACCGTATATTTATAGTAAGCCATTGGGCATTGTCTTTTTATTAACAAAAATAGTGATAAAACATCTGATAGAGAAATGTGGGGGTGGATTTAGGGATTATACGAATTTAAGCATTACATATATCTGTTGTGCTGTAAGGTTTTCGTATTTTAAATCTAAGAATTTTTAGTCACCTACAATCTGCGCAAAACATTTGAGGAGAGAATCACTTATTGCAGATTTGAATTTTTTTTCTCCCATAAACCATTTTTTCTCCGAATATTGTATTTTATCCCAGAATCCTCCATGACTTAACTCCTCCCTAGTCAAACTAAAACAAAATAAAGAAGTGCAAAATATTGACAGGCACACTGCAATTTTTATAATGGTGAATCCTTTTTAGAAGTACTTAATTTTTCCTTTACAAGCCAAGCTGGTGTATTTATTTTTCAGTGAAGAAAGGTACAATTAGTGCTGGCCGAGTGGCGCATTGGTTAAGAGCTGGCTTGCGATGCCACAGGGCCCCATTTCGGATCCTACATATGAGGGCCAGTGACACTGCCCTCTACAGCTAAGATGCTGAACAACAGCTCAACCTGGAGCTGGACTGCTGTGAGTCGCCGGCGATGGCGTAGGCTGCAGCAGGTTGCCATGGGCTACTGTGTGTAGCCAGCAGCCAGTGTGAGCGGCCAGCAGCTGCCGTGAGCGGCCGTCCAGAAGCCGGCGACTGATCTGCCCCTCCCGGGAAGAACGCAATGATGGTGCCAACCTGGCCCAGTGAAGCAGCGTCCTCCACAACTAGACTGAAGAACAAAAGGACAGCAACTTGTCCATTCCCCTTACTCCAATTCCCAGCACTGTTCCCATCCCCCAATTCCCCAATAAAAAATATCTTTAAAAAAAAAAAGGTACAATTAATCCTTTGGATAGATTTAAATGTGGTAACCTTAGGATTTCAATTTTAATTCAAAATTAACACATTAAACTTTTTTTTTTTTTTGCTTTATACTAGCCCATTCCAATGGAAAATCCTTATAAGGAACCTCTTAAAAAATGCATCTTATGTGGAAAACGTGTAGATTATAAGAATGTGCAGGTGAGATCTGGTTTTACTTCACTATGATACTTGATTTTAGGATTTTGCTTCGTTACTAGTCCTAATTAAAGAGAATCAAGTCAATTTTATAACAGGTTTTGTGTAGGGGCAACTATTTTAGCAACTTCATAATTTGAAATGTGGTTATGCTTCTATGTATAAGGCATCTCTATTCTAATAGCCTTTTGGCTCTCCCTTGTTTACTATTTCAGCTCAGCATTTCTTCCTCTTTTTTCTCTGCCTAGTGTCTTAACAGTAGCTCACTATGGCAGTAATTTGGAAAAAGCTCTCTGGTGAAGTTGATCTCTGTACTTCACCAATATCACTGCTTCAAATATAATTTTATCTCTTGTCCAGCACTCAGCAAATTAAGTGGCAAGTCTGAGGTAGAGAATGATGTTGAAATTAGGTATTTTGACAATAGTATAAAGTGATAGTTGCCATAGAGGGAGAAAAGTCAAGAAATTTTAAAATGCAACATATTAGGATTATGCATAGCACCAAGAACACTGCCTGGCACCTGGAAAGCACTAAGGAATTTAAATTAATGAAGCATAAAGTACAGCAAGTGGCCCGATGTGCCTGTACCTCTTGGAAGACCTCAGTGTAGCCTGTATTATGTGATAGTCTATCATCAGAGATGAAATGTGTAGTACCTTGTGTGCAGCAGTATTTTGGAAAAATATCTCTGAAAGTCAAGAAAACAGCTTTAGCACTGAAAGAATATGCTCAATAATCCGTTGTATAGACTTTTTGAACACTCTGGGTAAGAGATGTTAACTCTAATAAGTTATTTAAAAAAGATATCCTATAGTTCAGTATTTTTATTCACATTATATGAAGTTTGTCTGAAATTTATTAAAATACCTTTACATAATTTGAAGGTGACATATAAAGTATGCTTTTTTGAAATTTACCCAGTCAAGACAATAACAAATGTATTAATATAAATTTTTTTTCTTCTCTAAATAAAACTAAAAACAGCTTTTGTCCCAGTTTATTTCTCCATTTACTGGATGCATTTATGGAAGGCACCTAACAGGTATTGTGTTCTCTAAACATAGATAAGAATTATGTAAATTTATTTAATAAAACTGGCAAATTTTCAAATTGTGCTATAAATCACTGTTAGAAATCTTAGTATTTAAGAAAGGATCTTAGGCCAAAAGAGGTATTTTGCATGTCTTATGCTTAGAGGTAAGCAACTATAAGCTGCACATAGAAACCTTAAAAAAACTGTTGATATATTTGGAGTATACTATAGTCATATCTAGACTATTATTTAAACAGAGGCCTATTTTCCATAGGCCAAATGGGATCTGCCACTTACTTTTACAAATAGCTTAGTTTATGTAGTGTCTATAGCCGGTTGCTTTGTGAGCTGAAACAGTAGAGGTGAGAAATTTTAACAGGGACTGTATGGCCTGCAAAGCTTAAGATATTTACTGTCTGGCTCTTTACAGGTTTGCCATCTGTTCTTGACTTAGACAATTGTTACACATTTTGAATATTGACACTTTTTATGAATAAGAAAGCCTTTTCTTTTATAGGTCTTTGTGGAAAGAAACAAAAAGAAATCACAAAAGCGATTAAGAGAGCTCAAATAATGGGTAAGAGCATTTGAAAACTAATTTGGGCTAATCAGAATTTTGCTCATTATCTTTTGTTAAGAACCTTAATTATCTCTTTACAGGTTTTATGCCAGTTACATACAAGGATCCTGTGTATCTCAAAGACCCTAAAGTTTGTAATATCAAATATCGGGAGTAAATTATCTAACATTATCAATAAACTTATTTTTACAATAAATGGTTGCTGACTCAAACGATAAGATTTAATAACCTTTAGAAAATTAATAGGCTAAATATTATCAAACTATAAATTATGAAGTTTTTAATTCTTAATATAAAATCTTATGAAGAAAGTGTTTAGGAGTGAAAAAATGTTTCTTATCCATACCAGTGAATGTTCATTAAATAAAACAAGACTTGAAATGTTAATTCTCATTACATTTTACATAGATGAATTTAAAAATTGGTACTGTAGGGTTTCACTTATATCTCGTCCACAAATAGGTCATACAATAGTAGACGACTGATAGTGGGATATTAAATATGTGATGACTTGTGTTGGAACTTTACGTCCAGATTCTGTCCTATAAATGGAATTGTAGGGACATGGGTGCAGGAAAGTGCAATGCTTGTATAATGTAAAAATCCACGACAGGGTATGGCCTTGAAACTGTTCAGGGAGGTTTTCTAACTAGCAAATAAGGTATCCCTGGCTAGTACTGTGGGTCTTCCCTTTGTAGAGATGTTACATTGGATGGAGAGTGGTGCTGTCACAGGACCTAACATTTATTCCTGGACTAGTCTGGTCTGAAACTGGTAATGTACTTTAAATAAACTGATCCATAGACAATCTATTATGTCATTTTATCTTACTCCAGTGATAAAACTAACTGCCAAAAGATGGAACTGGGGGGAAATGTCCTATGAGGACTCTTTTCCTTCTTTTCACTGAATACCTGCAAGTTGGGCATCCCCAACTCAATTATGGAAGTTCAGCTGTGTACTACTGACCTGAATAAGCTTCTCTATTACTGAAAGTTTAGTATTGAAATCTTCAAAGATGGATCGTTGTGCAAAAGTACGAGCTAAATATTTTTGTACCTCTATAGCATTTTTGCAAATTGAACTTTGTATGGAAGGCATGACTTCAGTTTGAGTAAGTATGTAAACATCTTTGAAAAATCTCAACCTATTATCTAGAGAAGACATTTGCACATGTGGGCTGCTTATTGCTTTTGCTGTTCCTAGTCTAGACTGTGTACTCAGTTTTGTTCATTTGTTCGTTACATTTAGTCATTATGTTACGTGGTAAGTTCTTTATGCTCTGGTGATATTTGTGGTTATTTGAAAATCAGGATTTAGACTGACAACCTATTTCCCCTCCTTCTGCCCTTCGCAATACCACAGTGCTTCTTATATAACCAGTAAAAATCTCAGCAGAATCTCATTATTTGCACAAATCATCTCTGGTATTATGTGGGCTTCATAAACACCCCATGGTAACTAATGTTTGTTAACACACAGATGATAGTTTGATTCTGGGTATGAATTTGCTCTACCACTTAGGAAGTAACAGATGGAAGAGCAATGGTCAAAGCGTGTGTTCAGCGTGTCATCCAGTGAGTGAAACATGAAGGTTTCATGTGATGTGTACACTTCATGGAAAATTCTATTACAGAAAAGAAATTGAAAAAACACAGCAAAAGCTCTTTTAGCCAGCCTCCACTTAACCAACTCCCTGGATTAAACGGGTTTTAAATCCTTTCTAAAAATTGTACTGAAGCCTGTGACTCTCCTTCCAGTTGAGTTCTGCATTGCCAGCTATTTTGTACCCAGACCTGTTAGTTGTATTTGCTATTGTATTGATGAAAACATGAGTATTAAAAAGAAAGTTCCTAAAAAAAATAAATAAAGTTCCTGTTGCAATAAAAACTGCTTTGGAACAACAATAAAAATAGCTTTAAAAAATCAGTTGTTGAATTAGGTGTGGTTAGGACAACTTAAGTAAATTTGGGAGTGGGAAGTTGCTGTAAAATGAAAAAACGTTAAGTATTTTGTACTTAAGATTGTTTTAAAAGTTTCTATAAATTCTTCACTTTAAAGAAACCAAACTGTGGTGCATTACACCCGTGCCATAATTAGAACTGCCGGATTTAGCAAATAAAAATACAGGACATAATTAAATTTGAATTTCAGATAAACAATGAATAATTTTCAAATATAAGTAGGTCCTTAATATTGTATGATGTCTAGCATTTTATCTGGCAACCCTAGCCATGATGTACTATTTATCATAACTTAAGGAGTAGGAATTGCAATGACTCAGAAAAAAATTAAATACATTTTCATATTAACTTGAGACTTCTTGCTTTTGTGAAAATAAGGCTAGCCTCTCCCAATTATAAAGAATGCTGTACAAATTTAAAATACCTAGTTAAGCTTTTCCCTCAACTGTTTAGTAAAAGGGGCAAAAAAGGTTTTGGTTTTAAAATAAAACCATCTGGTATTTTAAAAACTACTTTATAAAATAAATGCACTAGAACTTATTTATGTAGGCTGAACATATAGGAAAAACAATGGTTTTTACCCTTCAGCAAAATAAAAACCTTTGGGCCTAAAAGGATCAAAATGTAGGAGACCGTGGATATTCACCAGAACCCTTCATTGTTTCACTCTCTTGATCTGTTTCTGAGCTGCTCGTGGATGCTTTTTCTTGGTTACTACTATCAGTATCTGTCTTAGATGGTTTGTTTTGTATCTCTAATAGCCGTGACTTCTTGAATTGGCACCTGTCATCTGTATCTAAAGCTTTACGCTTCAGCACCTGCAGTGCACTACTATTACTAGCTGGACTGGCTTCTGGAATGTCAGTGCATTCTACCATTAAGGTCAGGTTGTCTACCACATTGAGGTGGTGGTTGGTATTACAGCTACTTTTAGAAATATGCCTGTTTTTCAAGGAGATAACACATGAATGAAGAAGTTCACAATCTGGAAAAAAGGTCCGTAAAGCTTGACAAAGAAAAGTGTTCTCCTGAGGCTCCTTTTGCACGTTCTTCTCTCCTAAACAAAATAAAATAAGAGTTCAACATACAATATTGGTTCTACAAAGCTTTTATGATTGTTAGTAAAGTTGACTCAAAAACACTAACAATTTTAACAAATTACCTAAAGTGAGAAAAATGACATATAAAATCCCAAATTCCAACTCTTACACCACAACATTCTGAGGAAATTAAAGTTATATTCTTTAATATCAACAATGTAGTATAGCTACAATAGTACCATGTTCTTTGTTCAGTGGGATTTAAGAGTATTAATAAAACAATTACTTTTAATCTTAAAGTGGACAAATCCATCTGTTAGTACAGCTGGCTCATCCATAATTCAAATCAAAATTTTTTAAGCAAAGAAAGTAGTGATGTGTGAACTTTTTACTTACGTGCTGCTTGAATCTGTGCATGTTTTCTTTTTTTAATTTCTTGTTTTAATCTGTTTACATCCTTTAGTAGTTTCTCTACTGCTTGCTCACTATGTTCTACTTTTTTGCATACACTCTGCAAAATAAAATCATTTAAGGGCATAGATAAAATTCCAAGTTGTGTATTACAGTCTAGGTTCACAATATAAAATTCTTCATGGTTATAAGTATTACTTGCCTTTATAAAAATTATAATTTTGCTATTTTCGGAGGAACTCATCAAACACTTGTATGGTGCTTTATAGGTTATAAAATGCTTTCCAGATATATTAACTTCGCATTTATACATAGCTTTATCACACCAGTTATTTCCTTGATAATACAGAGAAATAAAGAATATTTAACTCACTTTGAAACAAAAAATGCTGTACTATTTGAGAGGTGCACAGTTACTGCAAACATTGAACATTAAAGAAAAGCGACTTCATTTTACTGTTATGAATTTTCATACAGGAATTTCATAATTCCTGTAAAAGAAACTACTTTTGAAAAGCAGACTGGCCTCATGTGTGATCAGTTTGAAGTACTGACACCCTTTGACTCAATGATTCCATTTTGGGTATATATCAATAACAAAATTTATATAGGATGTTTCTTAGTATAATATCTAATCAAAAGTAACTGTCCAATTATAAGGTAATGGGTTGTTCTAGCCAGTTGTAGTGGATAATTTTTAGGATGTCTGCTCAACCCATTGCTATTGTTCACCCTGTCATAAGAGTTCACAAGTAACCCCTTCACCAACTTGACGCTAGCTGACCCAAGCAGACATACTACATAGCGAATTGGCAAACCCTAATCTCTTGAATAGATGAGATCTAAATGCAGGAGCTGAAGGTTGGCCATTCTCTCGTCGGCCAGTGGATGAATAAACAGATGTATAGATACTATGAAGGAAACAAATGTGCAGACACAAAGGGAAAGAAAGTTCTGATGGCACTCCAGCTCCTGGTTCCAATTCCTTCCTGAAGCTCAGCTGCCTTCTGCCTATAGTTCCTGTAACATACCTCTACATTATCTATTTTAGTCCAAGTTGGTACTTTTAAAATAAGAGTTCTAATATACTACTCTATGATATACACTGCTGTTAAAAAGAACAAAAGTGGGTGGCCGGTGGCTCAGTTGGTTAGAGTGCGTGCTCTGAGCAACAGGGTTGCCGGTTTGATTCCCCCATGGGCCAGTGAGCTGTGCCCTCCACAACTAGATTGAAGACAACAACTTGAGCTGCGCTGCCGGTGGGCGGCCAGATGGCTCAGTTGGATGGTGCAGTTGGTTAGAGCGCGTGCTCTTAACAAGGCTGCCAGCTCTACTCCCGCATGGGATGGTGGGCTGTGCCCCCTACAACTAGATTGGAAATGGCGATTGGACTTGAAGCTGAGCTGCGCCCTCCACAACTAAGACTGAAGGACAACAACTTGACTTGGAGCTGATGGGTCCTGGAAAAACACACTGTTCCCCAATAAACTTTAAAAAAAAAAAGAACCAAAGAATATGTAGCAACATGAAAAATGTTTCAAAATATCAAATCAAATAAAAATCACGACACAAATTTATATGCCCCATCACTGTCAACTATGTAAAAGCATGTATACATCAGGGAAAAACTGGAGAATATGGCAAAGTGCAAATGGTTATATTACAATGGATATTTCTTTTCTAAAATTCCTATATTATCATTCATCAAAGTCCTGTATTTATATTAGTAGTGTGTAAAAAGTATAAACCCCATTTCTCTTCATGTGCTACACTGACAAATATGGTAACCATAGAAATACACTACTCAGATCTCCATTTGAGTGTCTATACTTAAGTCAGGCTTCCCCCTAGGCTGCTCCTTGTCAAGGACTGAGCACACTGGAGGGTATTATTACAAGTCCATTCCCATTGGACAGCTTTGCTCAAAGACATACCATCAGTCTGACTGAGACCCTGGCCCTGCAGTCTAAAGCATTCCCCTCCCTGTCGTTCTCAGGTGCTCCTTCCCCTTTATCCTTCTCAGGCCCAATAAATCTCTTGCTTGTCTAATCCTTATCTTTATGTTTACTTCTCAATGGACCTGACCTGCCACAGTAAGAGAGAACTGGGTACTGTGGTAGATTGTTTTGTTCCAAAATATTTGCTTCCCTTTTCATCTTGTAAAAGGATTATATATCCCTGCCTATTATGACGTGATGTCCTTTGGGCCAGTGAAATATGAGTGGAAGTGACATGCCAGCTCAGCAGTTTTAACAGCTATTGTGAATTTCCACTAGCTTTCTTGTTCTTTTTTCCCTTTGTCGTGAGAAGAGCGTATCCCACTTAAGGGCTGCTCCTTCAGTCTGGATCCTAGAATAAAGATGACATGTAGAACAGTAGCAGAGCTGCAGCCAAGATATAATGTGAAACTAAACTTGTATTTACAGGCCACTGAGATTAAAGTCTTTACTGAAGCTAAAATAAACTATACATCTAATCAAATGTTAAGTTATCCCTAAAAAATTTCAGTGATCAATTTGATATGAACTCTAGAATTGGTCTTTAAGTTTTGGATAAGTTAACTTACCTTTAATTCCTTTTGTAAAGAAGCATACATCTCATTTATCTTGTGTACCTCTTTTAAAGATCCATCTTCTTCAAAAAATTCAGGACTGTAAAAAATTACAATTTCCTCAGGCAAGTGTACAGAACTCATTTAATGATATGATAAACTTATGTGTGGTTGAGCAACAGAAGAATCATAAATCACATTTCATTGATTTTAAGTCATTGATTCAGAGGCAGTATTTTATATAATATAAACACTGTGCCTCTTACAATCAATGAAATGTGGTATTAAATTTCTGTAAGACACTGTTAAGTACTGTGGGAATGAACACAAAACTAAATAAAATCTAGTCCTTTTTCTCATAAAGTTCATACTCTAGTAAGTATCCTAAGAACCAATGTTATTTCTGATGTTATTCCCTTAATTACCACAAAAAAGTCATAGATTAGCAGCCTATAGTATGCATGAGCCTTGGCTAAAGACTTATTTTTGGCTTTATTTAATATCCAGTCAATTTCATGCCTTTAATCTGAACTGCTGCCTTAGAAAATTATTTTGAGGCTAGCTACTTAGTCTTATATGTTAAAATATGCAGGATATGCAACAACCCCATTTTTATTTTTGATAAATGAACAAATGCTAGAAGGAAATATGGAGAAAATAAAACAGTCTGGTTTATTTGAGTGACATGGTCATTAGTCAATTTTCCTTTTATTTTTATTCCGCTGTTGTGTAACAAAAAATTTAATTAAAAAAAATGAATAGGATTAAGTTTAGTGGGGAAGCAACTGAGGAATCTCACCTGTGTGTTTTTACTGCTCGGCTAAAACCAGCGGATGTACAGGAACCTGATACAGTTTTATAACCCAGTTGTTCAGACATGCCCAGATTGGCCACCACTAAAGGTATCCTATGAAAAAGTCTGAAGAAATAAAATTTTAAAATATAAACTAGAATAAAGTGAAAAATTAGCATCTGCTTATTAGTTTAAACTACCTTTCCCTTACAAGATGAAAAAACAACCCATTCCTTACTACTTACCCAAGATAGAATTTACTGACTTGAGGAAAATGGCGTTTACAAGTTGTGAAATGTATATAGTGTAAGATAATTATGTGAGGAAAAAAAAAAAACTTTAATGGCTATTTTAACTGATTGGCACATATAAAAATAAGCCTGTTGAGATTTACCTATCTTTCATAAATAATAAAGTTAACCTTAGTTGGTACTCTTTTAGCTTAATTCTCATATTCCATGAAAATGTTGTTTCAACCTTTGGGGAGTCCTGTTAACTCATGTTGGTAGATCATTAAGAACTACCTTGCTTCCCTGTAGAGGTTATAGAAAAGCTACTCAAGAACCCAGGCCTAAGTTCTACGTTATATCCGTTAGCAACTAATATCTAAGGCACACATATTTTTTCCACCTTATGGTAAATAACAAAATCCTCAGTGCCGGAAACACAAGTTAACATTCCACACTGGGCTTCCAATTTTCTTATCTGACCTTCATTTTCCCATCAATCAAGAACAGATGGGGGGCCAACTGAGTGGCTCGTTGGTTAAGAGTTGGCTTGGGAGCGCCAGCTCTGAGCAGCAGGGCCCTGGCTCGGATCGAACATGCACCAGTAAGCTGTGCCCTCTACAGCTAAGATTGTGAACTACAGCTCGACCTGGAGCTGGAATGCCATGAGTCACTGGCGACAGCATAGGCTGCAGAGGGGCTGCAGTGGACTGCTGTAAGCTACTGTGAACAGCCGACAGGCGGCGACTGATCTGCCTCAGCTGGGAAGAGTGCAATGATCATAACATCAACATGGGCCAGTGAAGCGATGTCCTCCACAACTAGACTGAAGAACAAAAGGACAGCAACTTGTCTGTTCACATTCCCCGATTCCCCAGCACTGCTCCCCTCCCCCAATTCCCCAGTAAAATCTTTAAAAAAAGAACAGATGGTAAGATAGACTTCAGAGCATTGTTATGACAATCTAATGCAACAATATATGAAAATACTTGGTAAGCTGCAAAAAGTACTATAAAAATACTGGGTATAATTTTTCTATTAGCTGAAGATAGCCAGTGACTGGCCAATATTTACCCTTTCTGAGGTTTATATAAGGCATGTTCCAGCCGATGAGTAGAGCAGCTTTCTGTTGTTATACTCGGTGTTAATAGTAGAAACACAAGTTCCTGGCTAGAAAGATGTTTCTGTAAGTTTTTGTGAAGCAGTCTCTCTCTAAATGTCATGATCTGGTCTGAATGACGTCGGAATTTGTACCAACCAACCACATCCTGAAAGAAAATGCAGAAAAAATATCAGGTGTATACCTTAATGGTTATAATTATTATGTGTTTTACTGTCATAATAAAATTGACAGACTTAAAAAAATAGCTTTCTTAGTATTTAGCAAGATTTTGGGCATATGTAAACAAAGCATACATACACTTACATAAATACATTTTTGTAAGTATAAAAACTGACGTAGTTAAATTATTTTCCATTCAGTTACAGGGCTACAATTTTATTCAGTATAGATTACAGAAAAAAAGATTAACTTTAAGACATTTGCTATCTTAAAATCTTAATCTTTAGTCAAAATTTAAATGAAGAAAATGTCAATGAAAACAAGTTAATTTACTGCATGGATACTTGGTTTGCTAAATAAGTAAGTTGAACCCAACAGCTTTCAAATTTGATATTTATATGGGATTATCATTTACCCCACAGAGTTGGTTTCAATATTGAAAAAGATTATGTGAAAGGGTTTTGTAAACTGTAACTTGCTAACCAAATGTGTTGTTAGTATTACTAAACCTTTATTTTTTTAAACTGGAAAAATAAACCTCATTTGCTGAAAGCTTAATATGTATAAGAAAGAGAAAAACAACCACTTAAAGATCTGTCTGTGACAGTTTCAGCAACTAAGTATTATATTTGCTCATTTAAGTTTAGGAAATTAAAATTACTACTTTTTAAAACTAAAACATTTTGCATGTATATTTTTAAATATCCAAATATAATTAGGGCAAAAGCCCAAGCATTTTCAACACAGGATTTTTTGAAAGAAAATTCTTTTACTGAATTCACTTGTATTTTCAACTCAGAGATCAAAAAGTTTTAAGAGGAAAAAAAATACCCAGAAAATATTTTATATTTTGAAAAAAAAATCTATTTTGATCATTCAACAAGTTTTAACTAAACAGCAAGTATGCTGTGGAGAATCCAAATTAGTTGTTGTATAGGAAACCGTCCCTGCACTATAAAAACTTGTAACTGGCTATGTAAAAACAGTAAGGGATTAGGTGCTAGAATAAATGGTTCTGGGAAGGGGTGTGGTAATTATGGACTTGGAGCTGAGCTAGCGGCATCCTCCACAACTAAGATTGAAGGACAACAACTTGGCTGTTCCCCTTCCCCAATTCCCCAATAAAATCATAAAAAAAAAAAAAAGAATAGTCAAGGGAAGAATGAGAACGAAATTAATACTTTCAATGACTAGCTTTGGTTTCAGAGTAGCCCCTTTGAATTTCGGGAAAGCACAAGCCTTTCCTCACCTGCTTTATAGGACAAATGTTGCTTAAAAGTTCTGTCAAAATATGTTTTTAGGAACTGAAACTTATAATACCAACCCTCCCCCTCCCCCCGAAAACAGACAAGGGTAATCAGAATATACCTTTTTGACACTTGATAGTATTTTCTTCAGTGCTTGCTCATTTAACTCACCAGATGAATTGTAAAAGCTGTAAAAGCCAAAATTAAAGGCATTTCAAATAAGCTAAAATATTAATGATTTTTATCAGCATCTTTAATTTTAGTTACTCCTAACCCAACTCCCCAGTCAAAATCCATATATCTAACTTGCCTGTCAGATGAAGTTCTAAAATAAATAGTTGAGAAAGTTCTCAAATTAACAGACTTAGGCAGAAATATGACGTCCATAAGCAGTTAAAAAGGAAAAGAGAAAAAGCTTCTAGAGATCAGTTTGGGCATCACATTTTTTTAAAACCTAAAACAAAAACTATTCATTAAATACAGGTACATAGCCAGTTCACAATTCATTCACAATTTACTTATTAAAACTTTTTTAAAAATATTGCTACATACAAAATAATATATAAAATGAAGGATAATAACAAAAACACAATTTATCCAAAAGCCATATTGCATCAAATGAAGTGTTTTAGGAGTTGGTTGGTTTGGGTTTTTTTTTTTTTTTTGTGTGTGTGTGTGTGTGGAGGGTTTGGGGGGAGCAAGGAATAGGTATTGGTTTAGTTTAGTGGTCTTTGTTTTGGAATGTCAAAAGATGTAGAGAGAATTAAAAGATAATTTGCAAAGATTTTAAAGTATTTACTTCCAGCCTTCCCCCCCCCCCTCAAATAACAGAGATCACAAGCCATATTTTCCTCCTTTAACATTCATTGAGATAAATGTGATGTTTCTGGGAAGAGGGGGCATTTTAATATATAAATTGGTATTGCGCAATAGAATTCATGTTAAATTGCATTTTTTTTTTTAAAGTGGCTTTAAGTTTTAGGCTTCAATGGCCTGTTTTCCAGGGACTTCCTGATGTAAGCCAATCTCTATTTTTGTGAAAAACTTTGAGAAACAATATATTAGAGTAGGGTTGGCAAACTTTTTCTGCAAAGGGCCAGATAGTAAATATTTTAGTCTTTACTGGATACATAGTCTCTGTTGTATATTCCCCCCACCTTTTTTTTTTTTTACAACCCTTAAAAATTATATTAACTAATCATAGATAAGAGGGCCACGTGCCATATAAAAATAGGCCGTGGGGCCATACTTCGTCACCCTCTGTATTAGAACATAAAACTGGGTATTAAAGCTTATCCAGCTCGGACTCCAAGACGTATGGTACCAGAAGACTCTATTTTTAACAAGTTCACCTATGTCACTTAAAGAAAAAAACAGAGTGATATGCTATTGGGTTAGGACACAAGAAATCCTGATTCTTTTGATTCTTCTTAGCTTTAGCTCTACCATTAACCAGTTCTGTGGCACTGGTTACATCATGAACTTTTTAGACTTATTTTGTTGTTAAGGGAAAATGAAGTAATAAACTTTTTGAATGAGAACGATTTCAGGTGGTTCTTATGCCCACCTCCCAACCCCTTAATTTTATAAAGGTAAAAGGCCGAGGCATGGCTTTCTCATACCTGGATCAGATCCTTTCCTCAGCTCTAAGACTCTGTGTTAAGTTAGTCTAATTAAGGTAGTTACCAGAAGACTGTAAATTACTTTTTTGTTTGACTCTCCCTTAATCCCTTTAAGTACTTTTTATGAGTCTCCACCAAGAATCCCTTAGTCATCAACAAATATTTTGTATGTCCGCTGTATCTAGGCCCTATAGGAGCTGTACCTCGTCTTGGTACAGCAGTTTAAGACTATACTACACCTTTATTTCTATCATCCCTACCACAGATCTTTCTCACCTGAACCATATGCTCACTGCAACTTACACCTTAGTGATGTGTACATACAATGTGACTGTAAGAAAATGCTGATTTTTCCTGTACAGTTTATGAAAATCATAAAGCTATTTCATTAAAACCATGATGTTGTGGTTACAAGTGTGTACTTATGAAAATGCATTTATTTCTGTACTCTGCTGTATGTAATAATAATGAGTAATTTTTAAATACCTCAATACAAAGTTTTTTGAAATATGAAAGCCTACATTAGGGCTAATAGTACTACTACTATCTGGAGGACTAACAGCACAAATTTTCACCCAGTAGGAAGCAATAGGAAGCAGGTTAAAGAATCTAACCGGTTAATAGACAAAAGATAACATTTAAAAATATGGTGAGGAAACAGATGATAGACTGGAATAAAGGGTAGGAAGAAGGGCTGCTGTGGGTGTATGAGACCGTGTCACTGAGTTCACAGTAGGCACTGAGGCAAGTGGGTGTGAGAAGAAAAACAGTCCTCAGGGTAAACTGGTGCCTGGGAAAGGCTGTGGAGATCAGCTAAAACAAGCACATATTTACAGAGAAATAATTATTAAGAGTTAAAACAAACAAGTAAATTTTCATGTATTTAAAGAAAAGGCTTTTCATTTTAATTAGTATAATCATGTATAACTGGTAACTAAGATATTTTGTTAGTTTTAAAAGCTACTTCACTTGCAGAGAATAATTCTCACAGTGGGTCATTTACTTGCTCTACTACTCACCTAAAAAGCTGATAGCATGGAATATATTTCTGAATGTCTGGAAGAAAAGAATTTTTAGTTATGATTACATTAATTGTCATCTGAATAACATATTGAGCACTTCCTGCCAGGAAGTACTTTACCATTATCTCATTTAATCCTCACAACAAACCTATGAGAAAGATGTTATCATTCCTTTCATTTTAATGAGGTAACAGGCAGAGAGATTTAGTGGCTATCCCAAGCCAGTGTTAGGGCCAGTATTCAAACCCAGATCCTCACTCATTATTAAAATGCTATATTCTTTCAAGAAGTCTAATAAAGACAATACAAAATATAAATTCAAAGTTGCTATATTTTCATTGAGTTCTAAAAATGTTATGCTCTAATGTTGCCCAGTTGATTAAAAGAACTGTTAATGGGGTCATCTTGTTATTCCAAGTACTTTCATAAAGGATTTGTCAATGTTAACTAGACTATCAAGAAAAAAACCCCAACATCTTTTAAGAGGTGAGTTTTATTCTCTTGTCAATAGAAATACCTCTAAATAGGAAGAGTGATCAATCATCCTTTTTAGACATTATAAATGAGCAACAATAATACTCATGAAACCAAAAGTGGTTGCAACAGAGACTAATGGGTGAGTTTAAATTTACATGTTTACACATATATCCTACATTTATATACATTTATATATAGATGTATTGCGTTTTTACATTTTAAAGTGGCAAACAAAAAATGGCATATGAATAGTGTGAGTATAAATTGATACACTCTTTCTGGAAAGCAATTTGCAGTACAGACCAAGAACCTTAAAAATGTTCATACCCTTTGACATTGTAATATCATTCCCAGGAAAGTATCTATAATATATGTAGAAAAATATTTATGTACAAGGATATTCACTGTAGTATAACGTAAGATGACGAAAAATTGGAAATAACACTGATTATAATTTACATAAAGGACTGCTGCAATTACATAGAGCCATAAGATTAAGTAAAACCAAAGAGAATACAATGCAGTTGTAAAAAATGATATTTAGAGGATTATTTGACATGGGAAAATGGTCATGTCACAATATGATGTCATGATGCCAAATTTTTAATAAATTTTTAATAAAGTAAACTAATTTTGTAAAAAAATATGCCTAGAAAAAACTGTATATGTTAATCAGAAAACTCCCTATATGTTTTAAAGCTCCCTTTTCCCATTTTTGCCCTGAAAGAACAGCTGCCACAGGCTACAGCTGCTTCACTACACATTCTTCAAACCCTTGTCTGGTCTTTTCCCCATACACTCCAGAAATTACACAAGGTTTTCAATTATGCAATCACCAAGTTTTTTTCAGTTCTCATCTTCTAACTTTTCTGCAGCATTTAATGTTTTTGTCCAAAATTTTATCTTTTTTTTCTTGGTTTTGGTTCCTTCTTATTGGTTCCTTCTTCTTTTGCTGGGCCATCTTCCTGCCATTTAAATATATGCAAGAGCTATTTCATCCTTGTTTCCCCACAGTAATCTTATCTGCTATGTCCCATGCTGTTTCCTGCTTTAGACTAGGCTATGGTCATAATTTTAATTGAGGAGTGCAATAGATTCTTTTAAAAGACACTTTTAAAAATTAGTATTTTTTTAACATTTAAAAAGTAACATGCTGATCCTTTTCACCATAAACCATAAAAAATTGAAGACTTAGAAATAAGTGACTCACCAATTGTATAAATAACTTCAACATCATCCATTTGGGAATCAGTAATGCTATTCTTGGCTTCACCTTTCACTTCCCCAAGGAGAAAACCTTCCTATGGATAAAAGAAGCAGTAAGTATATGGAATACACTGGTAGAATTACATTTAGTCACTTAACTAACCAATAGTTCTCAAGTATTTTACACTGATACAGTGTGTGTTACCAGCTGGGGGCACAGAAAAGAAAGACCAGGTACACTACCAGGTTAGGTGGGAAACGATTAACAGTTAAATAAAACTGAGTAGAATAGATTGTAATTACCACTGTGATTTTAGCACCCTTGGAAGCATAAAAGGCTTAAAGCAAGAAATGAGCACCCGATGCTTGAGGTCCCAGGGGCAGAACAGTTTGTCTTGGAGCTGAAGGCTCCCATTTGTAAGGAAATCATAGAAGGTAGAAATAACGCCAATAATGGAACATCCTGAGTGACTAGCCAAGGACTCTGAATTAATGATATGTACTTCTGGGAGCCAGTGGAGGCTTCTGAGCTATGAAATGACACTATAATCAATGTTTAGATTAAAAATTGTGCAAAATATTGGGCCAGCCGAGTGGCTCAGTTGGTTAAGAATTGGCTTAAGAGCACGAGCTCTGAGCAACAGGGCTGCTGGTTCGATTCCCACTTGGGCCAGTGACGCTGCACCCAAGCTGAGCTGCCAACAGGTAGCAGGATGGTTCAGCTAGTGTAACAAGATTGCCTGTTCGATGGTGGGCTACACCAACCCACAACTAAGACTGAACTCAGCATCTTGAGCTGAGCTGCCACCCCGATGGCTCAGTGGATACAGCGTGCGCTCTTAACAAGGCTGCTGATTCAACTCCTGCATGGGATGGTGGCTACACCCACCAGCAACCAAGACTGAACTCAGCACCTTGAGTTTAGAAGCCACAAGCTGCCTATGGCCAGCCAGATGGCGATTGGCGCCCTCCACAATGAAGACGAAGAACAATTTGGCTGGTCCCCTCCCCCAATTCCCCAATAAAATCTTAAAAAAAAAAATTGTGCAAAATATTAAAGATTTAGGATTCAATATCAGTCTGCTCTCTAAAAGGGAAGCTGTGAGTGCTGGTTCTTTTAAGAGTACATGCATTTTGCCATAACTGTGGCAAAATTCAATTTCTTTGAATTTTGGAGAATTCAGTTATTTCTCGGCACAATGAAGATCTTGTCTAATTAAGAATTTTTTTTTCCATTTCATTGAAAGAGGAGCACAAAAGGAATGTTTTCACAATGTCTTTACTGTAATCAAGTAGGAATAATCCAGAACTCTACACTGTAGTGTTTTGGACAAACCGCGAGAAAGGAAGCAGGGACAATGCATGTAAAACTATTCAGAAAATCATCCTTTAAAGACCTTAGGAAAAAGGTCTAAGAAACAAGGGCCTACACAAGGTACTTTCCAAGGGCTAACCTTTTAAGCTACAGAGGACTTAAGGCCATTCCAAAATAATTTCCACAGCTACATACATTTTAAATTGTCATATATTTGCTCTTTGCTAGGTGTTAATCTACAAGGTTAAATTACTAGACTTTGTTCAGTATGGTATTCTCTAAACCGTATTAACAAGTTACTAAGCACTTATTCTAAGATTCTACTTCTTGGGCTCAAAGTTTTACTGTTTTTTTTTAACTTCATAAAAATAAAAGTTTAAAAATAGAAACTGTATTTAAAAAACTACTTCACTACTTCACCCAGAGGTTTTGAACCTAGGCAATTAGTATGAAATAAGCAGTTAAATATCTAACATTTGAGGATAAATTATAACTGAAAGCATCAGAAAAGGAACTAGCTGAAGCCTTACAATTTAATACCAATGCAAACAAAAGTCAGGTATCTGAGACTAAATTGAGCTTTTTCATTCACTAAGACTTCCCAGAAAATAGCCACTGGATGCAACATCTCTTATTCCCTTACCATCCCACCATTTCAACAAACATGCACAGTAGCTGCTCTGCATAAAAAATTGAGTCGTTTTTGAAAACGTCTGTCGGTAGTTAGGAGAAACGGCAAGTTAACGGGCAAACTTTATAGCGGTAGCGGGAGAACGAACGCTGTGTGAACTTTCCATCCTTTCACAATCAAGTTGAACCAGAAAAAAAGGGGGAGTGGACTGTTGAAAGCAATGGGGGCGTGTGGGATAGCCGGATCGGGGCACGAAAATAAACACTGGTTAGAAGGAGGGCTAATCCTGGAAAAGACCTAGCGGGCGGGAGGCACATCTCTCGCCGCCCAGGAGGAGAAGGCAGCCCAGAGGGCTGAGGCCGGCGGTGCGGAAGGGAACTCGCAGGCGGGAACCCGGGCAGCGGCGGCGGGGAGGTCACCGACGCTGGGCCTCTTCGAGGCGATGCCGGATCCCGCCCCGCCCCTCGGCTCACCGTGTCTGAGTCCGTATTGAGGTGCTGGAAGGACAGTGCGCCGAGCACAAAGCCCGAGAGCACCGCCGACGTACTCTCACCCTCCATGCTTTGGCCGCCGCTGCGACGCACGAGAGGGCGGGGCGGGACGTGCTGGATCCCTAGCTTTAAGCGAGGAGGCGGGGCCGAGCGCGGAGGCGGGGCCCGCGCCGGCGCAGAGGCCGCGGAGGCGCGGGCGCCCTCTGTTGGGAAGGGCGCGGCTCAAGCGGCTGTGGCAGGTGGGGATGATCGTGTGCTCTTGCGGCTTGGTTCTCTGGTTCGCTCCCTGACTTCCTTGACGACTTGGCCCTAAATTATACTCAGTGCTGGGCACATCTGCGGAGGGCAAGGAGCGCGCTTTGATGGCCAGCTGTTGCTGAGGTATCTGTAACATAAATGCAAAACTATAAAAAATGAACACTGCTGACAGAATAGAATTATGGCTTAGTGACATTGTAATATCACAATGGATATGCTGCGTTTATGGTTTTCAAACTGGATGCTGTTGCCTTTTACCCATAGAAACTACTAGAATACTACTTAATAGCAGTTTCGGCGAGTCTCTTCTAGAACTCTCCAGCGATGTTCCATGGTGATGGGGGGAGCAGGAGAGGAGTTGGGTTTGAGTGTTTGGTTTTAGAAAATTAAGGATTCAGATGAATTGAAATAATACATAGATTTTAAACATTGTTCTAACAGTTTAATGAAAGGTATAACCATACTGTGTTGGATCACTTGATACAAATGATAAGCGGAGTGGGAAGACCAGAGCTTGACAATTATCCACACACGATATGCAAAGCTATAGTTTTTAAATGATTGAAAGACAGCAAAATACCAAACTGCAGATGCTCCTTGACTTACGCTGGAGTTACATCCAGATAAAACCATTGTAAATTGAAAATATCTTAGGACATAAATGCATTTAATACACCCAACTTTCAAAACATCATAGCTTAGCCTAGCTTAAGTGATGAATAAAACAAATATTGATGGGGTTGAAAAAAGGTCTTAATACAGCACTGTCAAAGCTTGTGTGGGCCACATGGACCCCTGTTAGTCCCCCAACGTTAAAATGCCCCAAACAAGTCCTGCTCTATAAACCCCAGTATGGAGGAATTTTAAAAACTGGAAGGTAAAGAACAATGAGAAATCTGACCTGGAATCATCTAGGGCAATAGTGAGGTCAAGATAAAGAACTGACAAAAGGGCCCGGGTTACCTGACTGGGGACCCAAAGCCTAACACGAGTGGGTAAAGTGGTCAGAAGTTTCTCTTTCTTTCTTTCTTTCTTTCTTTCTTTCTTTCTTTCTTTCTTTCTTTCTTTCTTTCTTTCTTTCTTTCCTTCCTTCCTTCCTTCCTTCCTTCCTTCCTTCCTTCCTTCCTTCCTTCCTTCCTTTCTTTCTTTCTTTCTTTCTTTCCTTCCTTTCCTTCTTTTTTTAAGATTTTATTGGGGAATTGGGGAAGGGGAACATTGTGTTTTTCCAGGACTCATCAGCTCCAGGTCAAGTTGTCCTATCTTAGTTGTGGAGGGCGCAAGCTCAGCTCCAAGTTCAGTCACTGCTTTCAATCTAGTTGCGGGGAGGGGATGGGGTGCAGCCCACCATCCCTTGCAGGAGTCAAACCAGCAACGTTGTACGGCTGAGTCATCCAGCCACCCGTTGGCAGCTCAGTGGCAGCTCAGCTTGGGCGCAGTTCACTGGCCCGTGTGAGAATCAAACTGGCGACCCTGTTGCTCAGAGCTCGTGCTCTAACCAGCTGCGCCACCTGGCTGGCCTAAGAAGAGAAGTTTCTGAGACTCCTTGTCATGCGTTGTGGTACCAACAGCTATTGGTGAAGCCCTAACATGGGGTACAATTAAATTGAGTGACTATAGAAATGTGTAAGAGTCGATAATAGGATTAAGGTAAAAGTTTGAATGAAATTTGTAATGTTTAAACGGGCTTAATGTGAAGAGGTCGTGTTTCCTTTATCTAAATGTTTTATGGGAATAGATATTACCTGACTAGGGGACATGTCCCCTACCTAAAACCTACCATAAAACCAAAACCTACCAAGGCCTTTAATTTATATCATTTAATTGTCCTATAGTAAAGCTGTTATAATTTACAATTCTATAAGAAATGAGTGCCTTAAAAAAAATGAAGTGTCATTAAATAGAATCTTTGCCAATGTTATGGGTCACAAATTTTCTCTTGGGTAATTTCATTTGATGTAATTGGTACTACTTTGCTTGCTCATGAAGCTGAGACATATTTTTTGGTCATTTGTATTTGTTCTCTTGTGAATTACCTCAATATATATTTTTGCCCCTTTTTATATCTTATTGATTTAAGAGTATATATTAAAAGTATTAACCTTTTATCTGTCAAATATTGAAAGTGGTTTTTTTTTCTAAATGGTTTTTAACTTTTAATTGTGTTTAAGGCAATTATTTTTAATACGGAAGCTTTTCAACTTTGTATTTAAAACTTTTGTTCATGTCCTTAATCTTTCTATCCAAGGTATCATGTTTAGGAAGATTTCCTTGTCTTATGACTAATAATCATTATTCTTGAATAGGAAGCAATTATTAATTAAGACTAGTGGACTAATGCCATTGGCTGACTGGAATCATAACAGAGATTGATTACCAAAAGCCTGAACATTGGACCCATACAAACAATAGAATTGTTTTAGAAGGCTTTTAAAAAATAATTGTTTGTTTCTTTTTTTTGGAGAAAAGGCTGATTTCAAGGGCTAGGGCAGAGAAAATACAAAATGAGCCTGAAACATTTTTTTGGTGCCAGAAAGTAAAGGTGGGTTCAGAGAATGATGTAAACATGTCAACCTGACATGGAAGGGGCTGATACTGACCAAATCTTCGGCACTCTAAGTATCAAATAAATAAGAGTAGTAAAGGATTATGTCCCATTGAATAAAATAAGAATCTTTGAGTCCATACTGATATAAATGAATGAATGAATGAATAAATGGGGTAAGAGAAATCTCTTCCTTTGAGTAGAATATCAACTAATAAATGTAGAAGAAATCATGAAATTAGAAAATCTCTTTTGGTGACTTTCATCATTATCATAATAATCAAGACAGGCAATAGATGTTAAAACTGGTGGGTAAAGCTTTAGTAACAGGCCATTTATGTTGTCTCCAAGTATCTCCCCCAAAGATATTTATGAAGGACAGAAGGAAAAATAACTTTATAAACACCACCTTAACCAAATAATGAAGGTTAACATTGCCAGTGAAGAGGCAAGTGGATATCAGATGCCTCCTGATATGGTGCTCTGAGAAGACCACAGCATCAGTTCTTTTTAAGTGATATTCTTGCATAAGCTGAATTTTCTCATGAGGAAACATCAGAAAAACTCAAACTGAAGGACATTTTATAAAATAACTGACCTGTACTCCATGAATGTCAATGTCATGAAACACAAAGACTGAGGAACTATTCTAGATGAAAGGAAAATTAAGAAACAGGACAACTAAATGCTGCAAGGAATAACCCACAATAATGATAGGGACAAATTGGTTCAAATAATACTGAAGTGTTGATGAAAAGAATTTTACCTGTTTTTACTTTGCTTTATCTATAATTAGTATATAATTCAGAGAAGCCTGAAAAATAAAGCAACTCTGGAATCTCCACTTCAAGAACTACTTAAAAAATTTGCAAATAGATTTCCTTCAGTTACCCAAATTGCAAAGCTTTGAATACGTTTGAATAATAATTTGTAAGTTTTCTTGTCAGATTGGAACTTTTCCTTGTCATGCTCTAAATTTTACTTAAAAAAAAGTATGGATTTTATTTTTCCAGCCTCGGGAATTCTTTTAATATAATTATGTGAAAAAAAATTCCTCATTTTACAGGTGAAATACTCAAGGAACTATGCAAGATAATTTCATGAATCAGAAATGTCACTGTCCATATCATTCCCCAAGTTCTCAGAAGATAAAATGAGATTGTTTACTATAAAATAAAAAAAGTGTAAATTTTATAAAAAGCACTTTCCCTTCACCTACACTTCTACCCCAGCATAACGATAATACGATCTCTACCTAAAAGTCCCCATAAACTCCCACCACATGAAATTTTTATAGGAAGGCTCATGAAGCTTTGTTTTATACCTACTATGACAGATTCTTCTTTGGTACATTCGAATATTGTCAAGTATTTTCAAAATATCATCTTCACAGTAAATGTTCAATAGGTATAAGATACATTTCCAAAAGGAACATTACCAGACATACCCTACCGTGACATACCACCAGGAGATTTAAGAAGAGACACCAATAGAAGTCAGCCTTAGCACACACTAGAATGAAATATTTCAGATCTTAAATACATTTCTTAAGCTCAAACACATACTCTTGTGGGAGTATGCTTTCTAGTATTAATTTGCTAGGGCTGGGATAACAAAATACCACAGATTGGGTGGCTTAAACAATTGATATTTATTTCTCACTGTTCTAGAGGCTAGAAGTCCAAGATCAAGGTATCAGCAGAATTGTTTTTTTCTGAAGCCTCTCTCCTTGGCTTGTAAATGGCTGTCTTCTCCCTATTTCTTTACATAGTCCTTCATCTGTGTGTGTATCTGTGTTCTAGTTTCTTCTTCTTATAAGGACACCAGTCATATTAGATTAGGGTCTATCCTAATGACCTCATTTAACTTCACTTACCACTCTCTAAATACAGTCACATTCTGAAGTACTGGAGGTTAGTAATTTAACATATGAATTTGAGGGACACTATTCACCCCGTAATACTTACAAATACAGGCAAAACACTCTCCTCTTATGTATTTCTCCTTTACTTTCATATTATTACTACACAATACTTCTGTTACCAGATGTGTGGGTTTTCCACATATCAAACAGTTCTCTGATACCAGCTGGGTGTCCTACCATTCAATTCAGTTCTGACACTATCTATCTGGAGTTAATTTCAGTCAATTTCAGCTCTTAGCACAGTAACAGCTACCCATCCCCGTTTCTAGCCCAATGGAAGCCACATGTACTTGGAGTAGCTTGCACACAGCTTACAGGAGCCAGGATAGAAAAAGATAGTACATGTAAATAGTAACCAAAAGAGAGCAGAGGTGGCTGTACAAATATAAGCCA